ATGAATGATGCGGATTTCTCGTGGCGAGAGAGGCGATTGCAGCCAAATTTTAGGAGGGGAGAGGAGTTATTCGGCGGAGTTAAACATTCCATGAGGAAGGGGCAAAAAGTCAAAACATTTTTTTGAACGCCATAAAGTTTATCAAAATTGACTCGAATTGCGCCCTTCCTAATTTAATTATGTTTAAACACAGTTCGTTTGAATGGGAGTTGAATGAGAACTCAGCATACTCGCGAGTTTTTCCCGAAAATCTTCAAGTATAGTCAATAATGTACCATCATGAAATTCCTAAACTTTAGTTACTCCTCTCTTTAATTTTCGATTTGATAAAGTCCTTAAAACTCCCTATCTTCGAAAAACAACAACATACGAATGCAATGCAATGAGTGACACGATTTGTTATCACAAGCGGAAAAGTTGAAGGCGCGCCGGGGATATCAAAGGTCTGGATACAACTATTCGTGTTCTCTGGATGTGCGTATTGCATACACAAAAAATGCAGGCGCTTTGGTTTTCTTAGGTGCAACATATTGCGGTGACCGTTGCGTTGGTTCCAAGGGTTGACTATAATGAATTTACAACCTCACTATTTCATCCTCGAAATTCGGACAAGTCGTGTAGCACGTAGCACCATGGCAGCGTTGCCATGAGGTGCAAGTGTCCGCAAATCATCTGCCGAAATAATTGCAACAGAAGTATTGCGAATGTCAAAACCGCAAATCATGACCGATGAAATGTCCGGCCTTAGCGCTTCGCATTTGTCTGTCTTCAAAACCGTCTTTTATCAGAATTTGTATCAAAGACAATGAAAAGCCAGTGAAAAGCCGGGGAATTTTATGTTCAAAGTATCTAAAAATTTGAGGAATTTTTAAATCTAAGAAAGCTTGTCACGCTGTTAACACGATAGGTCACAATTCCGTTCGTTTTCGCCGATATCGGTACTGCAAACGCATTATTTGGCAACGCAATCACACTCACATAGATGAATTCTAAATAATTAAAAGAATAGGATTTTTTTTTACAAAATTCGAAGTAAATAAAATAAGAAGATTCAGAAGGTAAAGCGTATGATGGGTCCGTTGTGGAATGGCAGAATCGTGTTTGGATGACTTAAGCTTATGGATTGACAAAATATAATACAATACGTTTTAACGTCAAGTAACTACGTCTATTAAAGATAAGATAAGATTACTTCATTTTTGCCCTTTGTGGGTTTGTAAATGAGGTTTAACAAGCGCATAACAAAATTGGTTTTCTTTTCATTTAAGAAATTAAAAGATTTTAAAAGCATTAACAGTTACCGAGCATGAAAAAAGCTTAAAAACTAAGAGCTTATTTGTTTACAAAAAGAAGTAAGAGCATTCCGAAATTCAGAGAGATGCGAACGTTTCGGAGATCGAGGCCGTTAACGCGTAATTACCGCACGAATAGTCTCCAGTTTACTTATGTATTTATCGTTAATTTGCTTACTTCTTTCCTTTAACTTGATTAAATACACAAACCGCCTACAATGAGTGACACATTTTGTTCTCGCAAGAATCATTTTGTTGCCGCCCATGGGCCACCAGTATTTTGCCGCCCCCTCCTCATTCGTTTTAAAACATCAATAAAAGCTATCAAGTGAATGTGCCGGAGGTGGAGGGGAGCATAAGACGCGTTTACCTACTCGTGTTGGATACATTTTTTGGGAAAGCCCTGTCAACAATACTAGCAAAATTTCACGGAACTTTGCGCGAAAGTCAAGTCCCGTAAACCTATCTCTGTGTGGACAAGGTCCTCCATTTATAAGAAATGAACCAAAAAATTATGAAAGAACAAACATAAATGTGGTTTAATAATTTTAACTTCCGCCGCTGCGCCGCGCTGATCGCACTGTCTTTGGCGCAATGCGTGAAGTATTCCTGCAGTCTTGTAGGCGCTATGCGTTTCACGGCAACCGCTCCCGAGTCCCGACCGCACTGTGTTTGGTGCAATAGGCGAAGTATTCATGCAGTCTTGCAGGCGCTAATATGTGTCACATGCCGACCGCCGCGCCGCGCCGAGGACTTGTCCTTTTCATCTCAAGTTCTCGTCATCATTCCTCTCTGCGCTGAGCTCCAGGCCAAATTGCGTGTTTAGCTCCTCTCTTAACTCGACTAATTAAAGATGCTGTCTCTTTTATCACCGAAAAACGACAAAATTGACAAAGGACTATACTCTCAGGAAAGAGAGATTTTATCCCCTTTTCTCAATGATAATTTTTTTTCTGAATCCGATTTTTTTTTATACCTACATTTAAAAAAATTGCAAAATTTGCCGCCATGGGCCGCGGCCCGTGTATCCACCCCCCTAATCCGGCCCTGACAAGCGGAGAAAATTGAGAGCGTTCCGGCCTCTTTAATGGCTAGGCGTGGATGCAACAATTCGTGTTCCCGGGGTGTCCGTGTTGCATACGCAAAAAATTGCGGGCGCTTTGGTTTTCTAAGGTACAATATACGGCTGCGGTTGTTAAATCTCAAGGGTTTTCTACGTTGCATTTACTATCGTGTTTACTGACATGATATCCGCGGAGTTCGAATGAGCCATGTTGCATCACTGCAGTATTGCCAAGTGGTGCAAAGATTCCTACAAAAATATTCCCACAACGGTACCGCAGATGTCTATCCCTTGAATTACTACCGATAAAATTTCCGTGATTTGCTTCATTTGGCGACGCTGTCGTGGTACTACACGAACACGACTCATCCGAATTTTGAGGATTTCATCGTGCACACATGATTGTAAATGCAACAACGTAGAGAACCCTTGAGAATTAACAACCGCAGCGATACATTGTGCCAAAGAAAACCAGAGCGCCCGCAATTTTTTGCGTATGCAACACGGACATCCCAAGGACACGAATAGTTGCATCCACACCTAGCCGCTAGAATGGGTCGCTGCGTCTTTAAGAGTTTCTCATCGAATTCTCAGATAATTATTGCGCGGATTGCAAACGCAGCCCTGGAAAAATCATAGACATTTTGTAGAAAATGAAATTAAAGTGATATTTTTTTTCTACGTATGTGTCTGTAACACGCTTGGCGTTTGGTGCCGCCGCACCATGGGCGAAATTCGACCCCATCCTACTTTACATATCTCATCGAACGATATGAATTTATCGGGACCGATAAGTCCTACAGCCGAAGTTGGCAATTAGGTACTAAAAGCGGAGAAATTTTAGGGCATTTTCGCACAGACCACTTGACGCCAGCCGTGCCGCGCCGCACCTCAGAGCTCAGGATGAGAATTAACATTAAACACCGCACCGCGGGACGTCTGACTTAACGCGACAATCACGTCGCACACCTTTTTCCGCCTGGGGTCAACAGTCGAGTGGAATCGAAAGGGATGCGATTCATGATAACATTCTTACTTATTTCCCCGACAGCGCACACTATGAAGTACAGTTTCATACCCAAAACGATCAGAACGAAAAATGTAGGGAAATAATCCACAAAAAGGGGCGGGGGGAGGAGGTCATTGTTTTCAGGTTTAGGAGTTGTCTCTGTCGGGCAGTAAGTTATGCTCACAGAATGAAAACTTACTTTTTGATGGAATTTTTGAAAAGATGTGAACATCAACTGCGATTTTTTGAGAGCATATGTAGCAAGACTAATTCATAATTTTAAAAAAATAACTTTCTGTGTTCCCCAACAGATTTTGCCCATGTAGCAAAATTTAAAACATAATTCGAGAGAATATTGCTAAAATTTGTTTTACCTCCCAGGCACTTGTCCCATCTTTATTGAGTTAGGTTCTAGTTATGTGGACCGAGCATCAATTTTTTAGGAGAGTTTGTATGAGCACTGTACTTTTACTCTGAGCCTATCATGTACGATAGTATCACACTATTGCCAGTCAATATCATTTCTTAATGGAAGAAGCTTCTCCAAATTTTCATATGAGGCATTCTAAAACATCCTCCAGCAGGCAGTAGAGGGAGCTCTCTACCAGCTGGGGCTTCAGGGAGGACAAACATGATACTTCCTTTACAAAACAAGCTAATTTGAGGGTCAATTCTTGTTTAATGGTTACCAGAAAAGAAGAGAAAATAATCAGGAGGTAGAGGGGGAGTGTCAAGTGTTGAGTATAAGCTTACATACTTGGGGAAAGACAGGGTGGGGGTAAAAAAGTCCCTAGGTCTGGGTTGAATGCTCTTTGTTTCTTGGTAGAGAACAACTGAGTAAGGTAATACTTATGAAAAAAGGTCAGGTAGTACTTATGAAGAATGATCAGGTAGTACTTGAAATTTCTTGAAAAGAGAGGAAAAGAGGATAATTTTTGAAGAGGTTCTAGCCTTTTTTTAAAAAGGTTTTTTTAAAATCCCAATTAGTACATCACTTGTGAATGACGAAAGCTGACTGATGGCAAATGCATAATCGATAACTAACTTGAATAGGCCTGACGCTGCAGAAAAATTCCCTAAAATTCAGAAAAATAGTGGAAAGTGAAAACTCTCAGTTAGTAGCCTTTTCTACCAGAATTTAAAATGAATAAACAAACTGAACACACTTTGTTGATATCGCTTGGTAACCTTGATTCTTCACTGTTCAAGTTGAGAAGTATCAAATTGAAAGTGAGGTGATAATTCGGAGTGTCAAGTTTTGTAAATTGAATCAGAAATATTTACTTTCCAACTAGTTTTTGATTGTTCGAAGGCAAATAAAACACAAGTATTAAAATAGATATCGATGGTAAAACAACAAAACCACATACTTTAATTTGTGAAATTTCAGATTCACTGTCCTGATTAACTTTGTTGAAGCTTGAATTTAAAGAGATCGAATCAAATTTTAACAATTTTACTAAATTAAGTTTGCCTTCTCAAGAATGGTCCTGAGGATTTCGAAAGAAAAGTTTCAATATTGTTCTCTCAAAAAATTAAGTTTACATGGATGTTTTTCAGAAACCAAGATCAAAATATGTGACTCCATAATATTTTACCATTGATATACAACAGATGAAAACAAAAAAATACTCACAAGGGGATACGGAACATAGCCTTCATAGTAACTGCCAAATTGTTGAGGTTCGGCATAATGTGGGGGTTCTGCATACTGCTGAGGTTCTGTGTAATGCTGCCCAGAATGAATTGGGACTGGTATGGGAGTTGGAATGTAATGAGCACCTACATTTTTAGCTTTGACCTTTCCATGACTACCACCACTGCTGCTACTGCTGCTACTACTGGAGCTGCTGCTTCCACTTTTCTTATTTTTCAGCTCTTTTATGACATAATCATAGGAAACATGGCTTGGATTCCCTGGGCTCTGAATTTCTAAATCTGCCACATCTTCCACGACTGCTTGAAGAGCTTCTTCGTAAACTTCGCCTACTGAGTCAGAAACTTCCTCAATAATGAATTCCTGCACTGTTCCATGATCCGTATCTTCTTCATAGTTGCTGTAATGAGCACCTTCATAATCTTCATATCTGTCCTCTTCTTCGTCACTAGAAGAACTGCTGCTCGAGGAACTGCTCGATTCACTTGAAGAGTGGTTCTCTGTAACGGAAAGTTTTGAAATAATTATGTATATGCTTGGACATGAGATCAGTTGCACATGATATCAAGTCCTAGAGAATGCTTATGAAAATTTCAGTTGAAAACTCCCATCATATTTTATCAGCATGGAATAAATGCAAAGCTAGAAACTGATACAGGTTTGAAGGGAACAAGCTAAGGGCTTTTTTTTATCCGAACTGCAGAGGATCGCTACGTAATGCATCACTTTTTTATCCCGTTCCCCTGACGCGTTCCGTGTGTTCTAGTGGGGCGCTTGGACCGCTCTTCCGAGGTGGGTTGAGGCCGCGGTTAGGCCGGTTGAACCAGCCCAAACCACTACCATCGTGTTTCATACGTTTCACGGATTAAAAAAAAAACCCTCTAGGAGTGCAGGAAGTTCCAAATCTTCCCTCAAATTCAATTGGCGTTTGAGTAAAACGGAATTAAAGTTTGCCAGCCAGTGCTGATGTCAAGTTGAGGTGATTCCATGGACGCCATATTTTGAGTCAAAACGACAAGCGATATATCGCATTAATTTGTTCCATTTTTTCAGCTTCTCGTCATTTTCCTCGAATTTTGAGATCGTAATTCTGTTGTTAGGAGACTAAAGAATTCTCTTACTTATCAATTTCGACAAACAAATTCAACGTAATATAGGCGTGGTTTTTTCAGAGGGAAAATACCACATTCAAGTGTAGTATCAATATCAGTATCGAATGCGATATTTTTCTTTTCCTTTGGCATGTTGAATTCGTTTGTCAAAATTGGTAAGAGAACTCTTCAGTCTCCTGACAACAGAATTGCGATCTCAAAATTTGAGAAACATGACGAGTGGCTGAAAAATAGAACCAACTAATCCAATACAGTGCGTGACATTCTGACACAAAACAGAGGGTCCATCGAATCACCTTAATAGAAAAATTAATTTTACAGAAAAATTCAGGAAAAATTATTTCAGAAACATTCCGCCATCAAAAACTGAAATTCTATTTTATAAGTGCATCAATCAGAGAATAACTTGGATCTCAAAAAATCATTTAATGATTAAAAAAATCACAGACTGAGTCTCCTCAAGGTTAGTCGGCAGTAATTTTTTTTCCAAAATTTGATGTCTCAGTTTCTCTCCAATTAAATTCAACATATCCTCGGATAGCTCCATTCTCCCTTGGTCCTCTTTTGTTTATAGTTTACTGTCCGATTTCTCTGGGCAATTTAATTTTTAGCGAGGGAACGTTTGTGCGGATTCCTTTGAAAATTTTATGGAATTTGCTTTGCACTACGTAGAAAATTCACTGTTTGCATAAAAATCCGCACGACCGTCTTCATATAAAGAATTAAATTCTTTGATTAAATTTGGTAACAGCTGATGTGGCTTGGTTCCTTTCTGCTTAACGCAGTCCATTTATCAGCCCGCTAAGCAGAATTTCCCTACTGACTTCTAAAAGAACGCCCCATGCTGCGCCTGGCACTGGCCACAGCAGTCATAAACATTGCTAAAAAACTAGGACGACAAGAGCACCTTCACTTTTTCTAGAGAGAACATTCCGACAAAGGACACAATGGACATGGAAAAATAGGTGCAAGGTTAAATTTACTCATTTATCATCAAGGCAAACATTTTAAAAGACCATGAGGACACTTACGATCAAAATCTTCTTCATGTTCGACATAGAGTAGATCAAAATTTTCTTCTGATTTAGCCATGGTGGACGAGAGACAGCTGGATGCTGTTGTTGAGGGATGTCAACGTAGCGGGAATGAATTAATGAAATGATACTAATGAGTCACTACACTCACAGAATATACCGGCGCCGCCGGTGGTAATGAGGATAACGGGACTAACAATAAAGTAGGTGCAATCTGGATGTTTGCACCTGTACACAGTAGCAAGATGCGGCGAAGTTCATAACGGAACTCCTGAAAACCATTGTTATCACCAACCGCACAAGATTCAAATTGAGCTTCACTTCACTTGAAGTTATAAAATTAAATAGAAATCACAGGAACGCGAATTATTTGAACGGTCAATTATGGAAGTACGTAAACAAAACATAAACAAGAGCTGAAACAAAACATGCGCGACGTTTGGTAAATATGGTGGTCATGGTTCAAGGTCAAATAACCTGACAACCTGGCCTATTGTTTTGAAATCCAATAAAATAACTGTTACTGTAGACAGTGCTCCAATCAAGAACAGTGTTACAGACTTGCCAATGCGGCATTGCCTGATTACACATTAAAATAATTTTGGCCTATAGCAAAGTAACTTTAAAAAACTAAGAATGTTATCAATTAGCTTTCATTTGGCAACTAAGTTTTACTTTCATATGATGCACTCTTGGCAACACTGTTTACTTTTCAAACAAAAAGACCGGGATATTTAAAATGACGCTCTTTAACTTCGCGAGCGCAAAAAACGTGAAGAGCACACGGCTCCCATTATTACCATGTCACGGGGGCTTGAAAACTTCTGCGACTAAAGTTCTCCCAGATTTAATTAAGCGTTGAGAGAAGTACCAGAATCAAGATGGGGAATCTTCAGTTTCTATTTAACGCATGGTGTTCAAATTTTATCAATGGTGAAACTACTAAACTATGGATCTTATTAGCAGTTTTTGCAGTGTTCGAAAATTGCCACTCATACTTTCCTTTTTCATGAGTATACCGCTCAACATTTTAGCGCGAAATTTTTACAGAATATTGGTGACAGATCAAAAAAAATTCATACGAAATTTTGAGTAACATTTAACAGGAGAATTGAAATGTATGTCAAAGCAAGATACAAGTCTGGTATTTTCATTGTTCCTATGCCAGAAGGTGGTTGAATAAAAGAGGGTGCTCCATTGGCTCTTCATCGCATTAATCTTTTCAGGGATGGCACAGCGTTCATCCCTGCGTGTTCTGTGCGATGCATTTAAAATGGGCAGAATCATTGTTCTAAATCCCCTTGGCAAGGAAAGAGAACAAGGGTCAATGATTCAACATTTGAGTATATCCTGAAATAGAGCTGATTTATATCTTGTTTCAAAAGATTGAAGGTCCGAAAAAAATCAGTGTAAGGACATACTTAATGTTGATTTAAAAAATTCTATCGGGTACCAAGTCATTTCTTACTTTTTCATAATATGAAGATACGGTTTTGGAGATTTTTTGGCAATGTTTAATAACAAAAACAAAATAGAGACCAGTTTTTTGGAGATTATACACTTAATTGGACTGTGTTGAGCAAGTGGGAACCAAGCAACATCGACTATTGTCAAATTTGGCTGGGCAATTTAATTTTGTGCATGAAAACGCGGTTGTGCAGATTTTTGTGCAAATTTCAGTGAATTTTCTCCATAGTACAAAGCAAACATTTTCAAAAGAATCTGTACAAACGTTCTCTTGTAAAAAAGTAAATTACCCAGTTAAATTTGGCAATAGTTGATGTAGCTTGGTTCCTTTCTGCTGAATGCGGTCCAATCATCTAAGGGTTTCAGTGTTTATAACTCCCTCTCAAAGCTTCATAGTATTAGAGGATTCAAGGATTTTCTGATTCCGATGATGATTAATGACTAGATCATTCAATTTTTTTTCCTCCATTAATTATTGGGGAGAGACGACTTTCATGAGGACAAAATATAAGTAATTCCTATCAAATCAGCGAGTGTGAAGACAGAGGAGACCAAAGGATCTTCAGTTTTAAACCTTGAAATTCTTACAGAAGCTATCTTTTTAGTGATCATCTGCTTCTTTCTTTTTAGCTGTTGATTTTAACATTTCCATTCTGTGTCTCAGCATTTTTGTTGCTGAAGCTTTTAGGTCAAGAAAGGATGAAACAAATTTGATCTGCAAAATTTGCAAGATTTTGCTAAAAAAGGAAATTGAATGCATTTGACCTGTAGCTAGTTCATGTAGCAAGGAGAATTAGGAAGTTCTTATTCTCTAGACTTATGATGCCTCTCTTTGAAGCAGGAAAATCTATGATTTCAGACTTGATCACACTAAAAGGATGGTTTATTTTTCTTTCCATGGAATTAAATAAAGCAGTGCAGATACATAATTCATCTATGAATGGCTGATTGTGAAAACTGCCCAGCTTGGAAAGTAAACATTTCCCAGGGAATTAGAATTAGAACGAACACTATTTGTTGAATCAAAAAGTCTTTTGGGGCATGTCCTTTAACTACTGTACAAAGACTAACAGGCAATACTTCACCTTTTTTTTTCCTTTTTTTTTTCTTTAGGGAAAATAAATATGAATTAAAACCCTTGAGTTTGATATTTTATCTAATTTCCAAGTTGGGTGGTCTTTGAAACAAAAAGTTCAATATTTTGAATGCTGAAAGTCACAGTTCATAAATTTATCTCTGTGCAGGTTCAAGCAATCTTGAGTGTGTAGCACTTATACTAGTTTAGTTCTGCTCCTTAACAACTGAAGTAACCGTTATCAATCAAAGACAGTTGCATTTTTGTAACAATAAGTACTGCAACATAGATAAGAATAAAACAAACTCATTTGAAATACTCGTTTTTAAATAAACATTTTATTTTACAAATACTAATAATATTTGAAAAGTAAAAAAATAAAAAAGTAAAAAAAAATATGATTTTCTCAGACAACACAATGAGATGAAATTATTGACATTGAAAAGTGTGGGAAATGTTAACATTTCCCAAGGACCATTGCTAGTAGTGCCATCCTTACGTACATCCCACATTCTGCTTGTCTGAAGTATGCAGCTCTGGGATCTGAATCTAATTCTTGGCTAATTTCAAACACACGAGGTAGTGGATGCAACACCACCATTCTTTTCTTGGCTAGAGTCATGAGCTGAGGAGTAACGACAAACAGCCCACTTGCACAATCATAGTCTTCTTGAGATGAAAACCGTTCCTTTTGAATCCTTGTGACATACAAAACGTCTGTGTCAGGTACTGCTTGCTCCAAAGAGGTGAAATCTTCCTGTGATATGTTTTTAGAGGCCACAAAGTTACGAACATGCTCCGGCATACCAAGCCCAGGTGGACTGACATAACGCAATCGAACATTGTACAGTGCTAGCAACCTGAGAACAGAGAAGAAAAGTGAAATTAAAATTTCTTCATGTGCAAAGATTACACATTTTAATAGTGAGATTATAGAAATAATTTTCTCAAATTCGAGGTATCGAAATGTTGCTCCTTCTTCATTTTATTAAGAAAGTAACAATCAAAATTTTAATACAAACTTTTAATCAAATATTCTAATACGGGCGGAAAAAAAATTATGCAAAATTGTGTGCAATGACAATGATGAATAATCCTACAAAACGGTGAAATATGACGGAAAATCTGCAATGCCACACATACTGAGATATATTGCTTCATGATTCCACCATCAATTTGTTCTCACAAATAGCATTGACACTAAAAAACTTAGTGGGATGACCTATTTTGTTGCTATTTTATTGAGCGTTTTGAGTGACAAAGGAGAATGACAAGCAGTGAGGCTGAAAAGCATGATTTCTAAACGCAATATAATGATTGTCGGCTTAGCATGAACATCTGTGACAGACCTGTAAAACGCATACATTCCAAGTATCTTGTGAAAAGAGAAAATTATACATACCTAGATAAAGAATGTACGGTTCTACCATTTTTCAGATCACCAACCATAGTTATTGTTAAACCATTGACGGTGCCTATTTCTTCCCTAATAGTGAAAACGTCGAGCAGAGCTTGCGTTGGGTGTTCACCGATTCCATCACCAGCATTAATTAAAGGTTTCCTACAATGATGAGCTGCTTTCTGAAAAAAAGTAATTAAAATTAGACAAACTTCCCTTTAAAAAATGAGACTTCTCTTTGTATTTTTTTTCAATTCTTTGAGGGAGCATTAATTTCTTCTGAAATTTGTAAACCCTGTCACTTGTCTGACTATCTCAAAAGTGTTCTCTTCAAGAAGTAGAATACTATTTCTAGATATCCTCAAAATGGAAGATTAAAACATAAAATGTATACATACTGAGGGTCGAACTCAAAAATTTGGTATTTCTGATGAAGTGTTTCAAAATTTTGCTAATAATTTATTGCTTTGGAAGGAAACAAACTGCTTTAAAAGCTTACAGTTTTTACATGATTTAGGTAAATGGAAACACAATTTGACCAGAGGCCTGAGATGCAATAAAAATTTTTGCAATGTAATCAATCAATAACAGAGAAAGTATATGACGTTTAAGTACATAAAAAATCATAGCTTGCAACTATTAAGCTGAGTAAGTGAGTAACCACTATTGACAAAATGTTCGACAATGCCATAGGATAATGATGCATCTCATTCAGAAGCAAAACTCCCGTATGAATGCACTGAAGCAAACCCCGTACTTCCTTACTATGATGGCACATTGTGCGTTCTTGAAATGAGCCCAGTGGGACTTTTAAATTCCGTGTTTGGAATAGGGGTGTTAAAACGAATTCTTGCCAGAATACTATCGATATCCTCTCTTATTGAAACTGGCGGCAGTACCAACAGTGGCGATGATATTGACAATAGCCGGCCTTATCGGATTTTTGAGAGCTTGCACTCAATGCATTGTTGCCCTGTGTGTCAGTTTATCAGATTGCCTGGCGCGGTGACGTAAAATAGATGTACAAATGGCAACAGCTTATTTTCGCCAGCTCCGAAAACTCTGATCGCTATCGGCAAGAGCGCTCTTATCATAACTTTTTCTGAACGGAACTTTTTCGGTAGCTTACCGACAACCGATAGAACAGCTTTAGTTTGGAATTGTTCCATTGTCTCAATAAATTAAGTTTATTGATGTGATTCGTCCTGAATGTGAAATAAACGTTATTGATATGAGTTGGAAGTATCTAATTATGATAATCAGACCTGATAAAAGAAATATTTTTGAAAATGGTAACGCATGGGCAACGGTCACGCATTTTTCAAATGTAAACAGTACTGTACTAAATATTCTTCTTCTTTGCCTCAATGTCCCTATCCCAGTTTTGCTTCTGATTGCGAAGCATCATTATTCTATGAAAATGCTAGCATGATGCACTCTTACGAAAGCCTTTGAACTCAAATCTCAACAGAAGATATTGCAAGAACTTACTGAAACAGCGCCTGGTTCTGGATGCCGCAGGACCAGCACATCAGAATAACCTGCCATAACAGTAATTGCATCTGAAATTTTAAGAAAATAACAACAATTAGATTAGTTCAAATTGAAAAAAAATTATTTTTCACTCAAAAGCTAACCTGATTATCGATCCTCACACAAAAGAAGAATGGAATAATTGTGGTGGAAATTATATGTATTTCCATTTTAACTAATAATTCAGACTTGGCAAAAGTAAAAATTAACATATTATTAAATAAGAAAAAGGTCAAAAGCCTTGAAATTTTTTGCAAAAAAGCAATACAAAAAATTTCATGGCGATCCTACACTTGAGGCGTGAAGGACTGTTTATGAGTACACAGCTCAAAGAGGGCCCATAAGGGCAGTTGTACGGCTCTTTCCAAACAATTTGCCATTAAGCATAACTACCTTACAGGTACGGAATCATTAAACCTTCTCAATAAAATCGTTTAAGTGACGTATTCCCTTAAAATAAGTTAACATTTTAGATTTATTAATACCCTCTAAGGTTTCGCCTTTCTTGGCAGATGAGCTAGATTCATCCATGTGGATGACTGAGCCTCCTAGACGCTGCATTGCTGCTGAGAAGCTACAGCTTGTTCTGGTGCTGACTTCGAAAAAGATAGATGCCATTACTTTACCCTGAAAATAAGATTACTAGAAATTAGTCGAATGTAAAAAGATTATTAAATTTAATCTTGCTACATAACAACCAAATTTGGAATTTTTACTGGTATACGTCCATTCACAAGCAAAAGGACCAAAAAACTCAAAATTGAGGAACTTACAACACTGTTTCGAGGAATGTCAATAAAAAATATTTTGCACAAAAAAATCCCAAAAATACAAAAGCAGTAAAAGTTAAGTAATGAAGGTTTATATTTCAGTAAATGTTGTTGAATAAAAGTAGTTTTAAGAGAGCAAGTGACTTGAAGTTTTATCTGCCCAGGACTATGAATAGTAAGATTAAAATGAAACTTCACATTCTGTGTTGAAACAAAAAAATAACCTTGACGGCTTTCAACGTATTCCTTGCAGTACTTAAAACATGCATAGGTAATATGTGTTACTAACCTTCAACACATGGTCTAAGGGTCTTTCTTTCAGAACAAAAACTCTAAATGTTTGAGCAAGGTTGAACAGATCATTGAGCTGGTCTTTCGAGAACATATCCACACTCAGGATATGTCGGTTTGTCAGCGAGTGCGATGATGAAATTGGTGTGGGCGTCAACAAATGGGTAGCTGTAGGTCCAGAGGGCTGATCTTGTATACTTGGGCATTTTACTTTTAATAGATTTTGGAATGGAGTAGGTGACGTGCTACGGTTTTGCAACTCCTGCTCCACTTTGGCACCAATTTCATTGATTACCTTGTTGTAGAATTCTAAATGGATACAAAATTAAAAAGAGCCATGATTAGTCAGACACATCAGATTTCAGAGAAAAATGTCTGTAAAAAATTCTGTCTGGAAGAACATGGATGAGAATTTTTTATTCAAAAGACATCTAATCCACGATCACTTCTTGTCATGATGTTTTGTATTGTGATGCTGCAAGCTGTTGGTTTTTTTTATTTATACCCCCTGAAATATGCCGTGCAATAATTAAATGTTATAGAAACAAAACTGTTGTATTTGATGGCTAGAATACGAGGTCTGTTAGATTAGAAACTGGATTTTGGTTATAACTAGCCCACAATGCGTCTGAATTAGGTTTTCTTGAGCTTTCCTGGTAGCTGGAAATATACTTAAGAACGCTACGTTCACAAATTTGAAAAATCCTCATTGGCTTCGTTGGTATGTGGCTTGAAGTAAGGCAACCTCACGAGTGTTCTGCGATTTTTATGTTTGACCGAACTTGCCTCTCTTTTTTCGGTCTTGCACTACATTTTTCAACCCACAAGGATGATTGGAGTTTCGTCTTCAAATCGTAGCCGTACACTCAAAAATTATCCTATCCAAAAATGTAGGATCATTGTTAGAACGTTCAAGCAGCTACAGGGAAATTGACATTTGGTTGGATTTTTGTTCAACAGACAACAATCAAGGGGTAAGTGTACCTGCTGTACCTGAAACTCGATGCATGTCTACATATTCTATCAAAATTGTATGTATAGAGCCTTCAGAAATATTACACTGTTCAGCAAGCTTGAAACGACCATTTTCGAGCACTTTTGCAATAAATGACCATTTGGACTTTTTTTTATTCCATCACCATTTGGGGTCAGTGCAAAATCTGGGCATTATTTTTCAGACACAATACATTATTTTAAAAAATGCCAATTGTTCTTATGTGTACATTGTATGTTTGATATAAATTCTCAATAGAATGAAAAATTACTTTAGAATACACAGAATGTTGATTTTCTTGTAAAAGGAGATTGTGCCTAGAAAAAAAAAGGCTTCCAAATAGGTATTCTGGTGGTAAACAGCAGAGCAATATTTACAATTCTGTTAAACTCACCGTGAACTCGAGTTTCTGACTGCTGTATTGAAATTTCTGGGACTAAAATGGCATCATCAGTGGTTATACTGGCTATACTGGATGCGGGAAGTACTGGCATGATAATTTTTTGTGCCAGTTGAGGCTGTTTCCATTCACGAACATCTTGGCCATAGCCTGGAGGAACTAAAACCTGATGGCAAGTAAAAAATTGATATTACATCTATTGAAGCACACACATATACATTAAACGAGTATGTTAATTTAAAATTTGATAAAAAGGATATTTGAAATATGAAGACAAGCTTCCACGGCGTCATTCATGGGTCATAAAAAGGTTATCTGGGACATATCAGGACACCGGTTCATGATGTCGTCACCTTCCAGGCAAAGTATCACAAGCGCCATGCGACGTTTAAAACTTTCCGCCGCCATTTTATTTTTTTACTGAGAAATTGTCGGTTGAATCTGTTTAGAAATTTCACTAAATTTTATCGGCAGCACAAAGAAAATTCAGTGAAATTTTCGGACAGCTTCGTTGAACAATTTCTCTGTAAAAAAATAAAATGGCGGCGGAAATTTTTAAACGTCGCATGACGCTTGTGATACTTTGCCTGGAAGGTGACGATGTCATCAAGGCATCATATATTGATGTCTTCAACTATGTAATTCCACTATGATATCAACTAGTGCCTCAATGACATTATCATCTGGTGCTTCAATAATGTCATCGGCTAGGAACAACTAGAAATAGCTCAGTAAAATCTGGAAGCAACAGGAGGTCAATGCTGCTGGGGAGGGGAAGGGGAACGGGTAGAGCAGGAAATTAACATTATCTTAAAAAAAGGGAAAAATAATTTCCATTTAGAAATTGAAGATATTTTTCATTTTTACGAAGATTAGGGCTTTAGCAAAACCTAGGCTTTTGTGATGTAGAAAATACCTACTTGAAACTCACATTTCAGTATCAGTTCATTTCATTATCAGTTCATTTCATTATCAGTAACATCTAGTTCATTCCATTATCAGTAACAATTAAAGTAGTGATAATTACGGCTTGTAGCAGACCAAGACATAAGTATTCTGGCTGTGCTGTGATACATATCGACTCAGAAAAGTGGAATTTACACTTCCTGAAGTGAAATACAAATACCGACCTTTTTGAATTTCCAAATTGTGCCAATTTAAAGCATTATGTCTCATACCTTGTACTTTCCTCTGATGACTTTCACCTCAATGGTACACTTTGCCAGTTGTTACTACACAAAGCCACTACAACTTCACCATGTATCATTTAAAGGCAAATCTCACTTTCTGACTGAGCACCCGCAAAATGATTGTGACTCAAAATCTAGCTTAGGAGCGCAAAAAGCTCCACGTCCTTCTGGACAACGGACAAGCAACAAACAACCATGGATGAGAAGAAAGACTCATTTCCTGTGTTTCCCCCTGGTAACAAATCAGTCAATTCCACAACTGGCGGCATCATTAAATTATTTTCGCCAAGTAGCCACAAAACCGAATAGAGAAAGCACATCTCTGCAGCAAGGAGAAAACCACTGCCAGTCGAAGCAAAATGCTGCCAACACAACAGATGAAGATTGTAAAATCCTACATCATAAGGTAAATATGTCACAATGTCTCCCATCTATAAATCCAGACCTCCAGATTCTACCAGCCATCGCTCATCGACCACCAGGTACCTTCCACTTGACACTGGGTGTAATGGACTTGTCATCGAAGGAAAGAATGAGCCGGGCTTTGGAACTTCTACAGAATCTTGACTATGCAGACATTCTTCAAAGTGTGCTACCTCAACAAGTTAAGGAAAACAATTCCACTCCTTTTGATAAAAACAATCCTCTTCGCATTATGCTCACTGGCCTTTCCACTTTCCCATCTTCAAAAAAAAGTCGAGTATTTTACGCAAAACCATCATCCTCCCCATTGTCACCTTTCCCCTTGCTTAAATTCGGTAAGGCTATCTGCAAAGAATTTCAAAAGGCTGGCTTAATCATTGACTCCCGACCCTTGATATTGCATGCAACATTAGCCAATATGAGGTATGCCATGCAAGCCAATAGAGAGCATAAAAGAAAAGGAAAGACAGGAAAGGAGAGATGGGCAGAAGGTCAGGTCGATGCTACAGCGTTAATTCAGTGTTTTAATCAGTACGGAGGAGACACAACTAAGTACAAAAATGAGGCTTTCCGAGAAAAGAACCAAGCAAATGAGTTTATATGGGCCAAGGATGTCGAGCTGAACAGAGTTGCTATTTGTAAAATGGGTGCCCAAAAAAGTGAGGATAAAGTACTAGGCCAAGTTTATCCTCCTGTTGGCGAGAAGTTAATATACTCATGATAGATTTATTTGAAGAAAAATTTTGATATGTATGATTCATACGAGGGGTATTCGTAAAATAAGTTAATATTTGTCATATCTTCTAAACTAATAAAGATAATTTAAATCTGTAAAAAGTTTGTGAATTGTCACACTCTCAGCTTTCTAAAAAGCTTCAGTTTTTTAAATTTGGTTCTTTGAGTGCCGAGTGACATCAGTTTTCCCACACCCGTATCTCACCACCGCGTGTCCAAAATTGACGCGTGCTGGGGAGATCACAGGACGGTAGCATGCGGCTTCATCCTGCAAACTGTCAAAATAGAATTTTTTGTTTAAAATTTAAAATTTCCATGTTTGTGAAGATCTGGCTTTACTTTTCCACGTAATCCGCATCTCGTTGGACACATTTTACATACCATGACAAGAGCTTTTTTATTCCATCAGCGTAAAACTGGCGATTTCGTTTTTGCAACCACTTTTGTACAGCTTCTTTCACCTCATCGTCGTCCATGGAACTTTTTTCGCCAAAACTCTTCTCTAGTTCAGGTAATAAGTGATAAATCACGTGGGGTGAGATCCTGAGAATAAGGAGGATGCGGGAAAGGTCTCATTTTAAGGAGGTCAACAACTGACTGGCCACATGAGCTGTATGGGGCCTAGCATTGCCATGAAGCAGCATCACTTGACGAGACAAAAGGCCAAGGTATTTTCTTTTGAATGCTGATTTGTGAGCCTTTAATGACATCAAGGTTTCTGTTTGCATCAATATTTGTGCTTCTTTTTAAGAAATAAATGAGTAACACTCATCGAGCACCCCTAAAGACGCGCGTCAATTTTGGACACGCGGTGGTGAGAGACGGGTGTGGGAAAACTGATGTCACTCAGCACTCAAAGGACCAAATTTAAAAAACTGAAGCTTTTTAGAAAGCTGAGAGTATGACAATTCACAAACTTTTTACAGATTTAAATTATCTTTATTAGTTTAGAAGATATGACAAATATTAACTTACTTTACAAATACCCCTCGTATGTATAGCAGTTGCAGGATGATAGTCAAATTAGGCATTTTGCCAAATGCCTGGGCAATTAGTCATTGGGATTTGCCTTGATATTTGACAAAAAAAAAATTCTGAAATGTATATAAATGTATGTACCTAATGTAAATGTATATAAATGTATGTAAATGTATATAAAAATTTTCTGTCATGTGTTGACTATTTCATGGGTGTCCTTGGAGTTTATAATGATGATTTAACATTTATCTCAAAATTGCTTGATACTGTATAAAGTACGAATTAGTTCAGATTTTGACCGTAAACACTGTTGTGGACATTTCGAATTGTAGTCTTTACAAAATATTTAATTTTAAGGGAGTTTAAACTGTTGTAATGTTAATTTTTTAACCCGATTTCTGTTGCTTCCAAATTTTGAACAAAGAGCCTCTGTAAATATGGGAACTCTGTTTTTCTGATTTCATCCTTTCCTTAGAAAATCAAAAACCTTCAATTAAAAATCTAACTAAATATAACTCATCACATGAGATGCAAAATATAAGCAGAAAATTCTTGTGTAAGACGAAGGTGAAAAATCGAGAAAATTTTCATGGCTGAAGTTCGGTGGAATGAGATACTGATGGTAAAAGTTATTTACGAGGGTCATCCAAAAAGTAAGGTTCCCTACCCTGTTTCTTCCGAACGAAAAGAGATAAATCAAATCGGTAAAGAAGACATTATTAGGCATACTTTAAGCTTTAAAACAAGCTCAAGTTTTTGAAAATCGGTTAAGGGGTTCGCAAGTAAACTTAATTTTACTGAGACAACCTCCTGTCGCCGCGTGCCCACCTCCGGGGTCAGGATGCGCGGAGAGTCGATTATGTTAGACTCGGGTTATCGCCTCTAAACATCAAATCAAAAAGGACTTTGAAAGTTTTCATTGAGTGGACCTTACCATACTTTTTAACGTAGTCTTCGCATCTTTTTTTGCGTTTCTGGTATCATTACAGTGCCTTTTTGACGTCTTCCGCGTAGAAGCTCTCGTCTTGGCTCCGAAACCAGTCATTGACAGCTACCTGCACTTCCAAATCAATTGCTTTGCGTAGGGAAATTTTCCCCCAATCCTCCGAACTCTCTCAATTTAGCCTCAGGTGACTTTTCTCTGTTTCCGAGCTGAAAAACTTCCACGGTAGAAAGCGATTTCCAGCTGACACAGAGGTGCAGATCGCTGTCAATGACTGGTTTCGTAGAAAAGACGAGAGCTTCTACGCGGAAGGCGTCAAAAAGGCACTGTAATGATACCAGAAACGCAAAAAAAGATGCGAAGACTACGTTAAAAAGTATGGTAAGGTCTACTCAATGAAAACTTTCAAAGTCCTTTTTGATTTGATGTTTAGAGGCGATAACCCGAGTCTAACATAATCGACTCTCCGCGCATCCTGACCCCGGAGGTGGGCACGCGGCGACAGGAGGTTGTCTCAGTAAAATTAAGTTTACTTGCGAACCCCTTAACCGATTTTCAAAAACTTGAGCTTGTTTTAAAGCTTAAAGTATGCCTAATAATGTCTTCTTTACCGATTTGATTTATCTCTTTTCGTTCGGAAGATACAGGGTAGGGAACCTTACTTTTTGGATGACCCTCGTAAGTCATCAAAAGATGGATGAAGCTAACCTGTCCTTCCACATAAGCAACTTCCCCACGAAGTGTCACTCTGTGGACACAGCCTTTGACTTTCTGCCCAGCAAAAGGTGTCCATTTGGATTTTGTAAATGGCATTGCCTCAGGTATTACCCATTCAGCATCTAAATCTACTTCTATATATGTGTTTGGCTGTTCTGGAAGATTGAAAATCCGACGAGGATTGTGATACAACTTGTCTACAAGATCCTGAAACAAAATGGAAAAAAAATTGTAGGCCAATATCTCAAGAAAATTCTTAAAAAAGGTTGCTAATATTGAGTGAGATCCCTGCGGTAGCTCCATTGATAAAATTCACAATTTTCGCATTCCTTGTAGATACATGGCACTAGATGTTGCTATTGTGAGTGGTAGGTATATTTCAAACTCCTAATATACATACCTTACAGAGAATTACACTTACGCAAATATACTTTGAGCAATATTAACTAGAGCTGATGGAATAAAGCTTGACTTCACGTATATTCAACAAACAATTTTTAGGATGTTTTTAGCCATGATTACCAGCTTTTCTTGTGTTTTTTGGTTAAATTATTCGGGCTATTTTTGTCTACTGTTGTAATCTTAGGATTATTATAAGCTTCATAATTAATTAAAAAATTATTATACTTCCTTCAGTTGGAGCTATTAGGAAATTCCACCAACTGACAATTCTCATAGGAGTAAAATAGAAAAATTTAATTCAACTGTGATGCATTAAATGATTACCTCAAGCGTTAGACGACCCTCAGAGACAGCAGTGAGTAAAAGAGGCAACATTGTCTCAAGACCAGGAAAGCCTGGAGGAGGTTTCTCACTATTCTTTTCCTCCACCGTATGAGGGGCATGGTCGGTGGCAAAACAGTCAATTATGTCAATATTCTCCCACAGTGCTTCTCGGTCTTCTTCTGCAGACAGCATCGGTCTTACTTGGCCTCTACCCTCCCCGATAGTTGCCAAATCATCTTTTGTCAAGAATAAATGATGCGGAGCGACTTCACATGTGACTTGAATACCCTGTAACATCAAAAAAATAATCTTAGCATCGTCGACTAAAGTTGACAATAACAGACAAATATTTGACAGCGACAAAAAGAATTAACAACAGTGGTTTATATGATATTAAAGTTTGGATTTCATTTTCAAGACATTTTTGCACATTGATGGTACAAAGAGGGTGTTCCAGCCAACTACCCAAACAATAGATTTAAGAACTTAATTGTTTCTGCGTGTCCTTTTGATAATTTGAAATAGCAAAATACATACTACAATAAATCAAAAGTTGTAAGAGATATAAAGTTAAGAATGAAATTAATTAATTTTTTCCCTTATAGGGCCAGTTCATGAATTTGATAGAAATCAAAGGGAATTTGCTGCATAGGAATCACTTACTTTCTTTTTGGCTGCACGAATAATTTCTACTTCTTCTTTCCGTGCAACATGGCAGACATGAACAGGACGATTGTGTAGTGAAGCGAGGAGGAGAACAGCAGCTGTGGTCTGGCGCTCCGCGTGAACACAAAGAGGAAAAGTTCTGGGCCAGTTTTCGAAATGTTTGCCCCAGACTGAAATATCAGGCAATGTCAGAGTGCTGAATGTTTCGTTCAGATACATTTTCAATCCGGCAGCTGCAGGGGCAAGTTCGGGTATGGCGGAATAATTATCAGCTGAGGCTCCAATAAACAAAGCATAATCACAACGGGCTCTGGCTTGAGCTGCTTTTTTAGCGACTGTGAACGAGGAGGCATTCACGATGGATGGATTAGTGTTGGGCATGGCGCATATCAGCGTCACCCCGCCTGCTAATGCTGCTGCAGTCCCAGAGGCAAAGTCTTCTTTGTGAGTTGCTCCTGGATCTCGGACATGAACGTGGACATCAATGAAACCCGGTAGTTTCACTATGTTATGAGACGAAATGCAATCAGTATGTGTTTTCATATTTGGCGCACCTCCAGTCTTTAACATTGCCTGCAATCAACATAAAAAAGGGAAGAATTAAAATAAAAAGTATATTATTCATGAAACAAGAGAGAATTGAAAAGCGAAAATAATCATACAGAATACACTTACACCCAACGATTAAGAAAACTCGATAAAAATAGTAATGAATGGAGAGTCAACAAAGGGAGAAAGTACTTGACTGGGATTTTAAGACTCTTCAAAACTCATTCGATTCGACTGTGGTGAGGTAGATAATTAATTGAATGTGTACACAATACTTATTTAACAACTTCAAGAAGTCGAGATGTCTACGCCATGTCAAGATATTTGAGGAAACACATTTTTAAGTCTTTACTAATGATAATTTGAACACCTCATTAAAACTTGCATGATAAGAAAGAATTCTATTTAACTCACACTGACAACCACCTTCTCATTATTTTCCAGGAATCCCTCTAAGCTTGAATTCTTGCAAAAATTAATTGGAGTCGTTCCCCTAACCTTCAATAGATACCATGTCCATTTTTGTGAAGATATTATTAACTCTGTTTTACTTCTCAATAAATGAATTCGATGGCCAATAAAGAGTCAAACTTGATACAAAACTGACACCTTGACTGTTAAGTTTATGGATATTTTTTTCGTTAACTATAGACAGATGAGAGAATTACTTTCCAAAGTTAACATTCTGACAAATATTGCTGTAATAAGGCGACCAGTGTACAATTATTAACAAGTTTGAATTATATTTACCTCTACAAGTAATTTTGCACATTTCACATCTGTCACTAATGGTACTGAATGCTCTACAGCAAGCCTCCTTGTCCTGTACCCATGGGTCATGAAGGATGAAGCTCGTCGTGCACCTCCGTTTCTCATTGGTAAATTGATAACAAGATCAAAACTTTTGTTCAATAAAAAGTTAGCGAGATGATTCAGATCACCGCTAGTTGCATGTTCTCCAATGTTTTCAAAATTCCAGTGGACAGGCTGTACGTCAACACCATGTTCTGTATAAAAATCTGCTGTCCCCATACTTGCATATAATTTGTAGCCCATCTTCTGGAGAGAGCGAATACTAGGTAACAACTCCATTTTATGCTTGAAACTACCAATAGAGAGAAGAATGGCTTTTTCTGGCCATTGGAAACCAGTGCTCATCATAGCTTTTAGGTAAGCTTCATAACGGTTATCTCCAAAGCATGCAACTTCACCAGTCGAGGCCATTTCAACTCCAAGCATAACGTCCGCTCCTGTCAAAATTGAACCCGAAGACAAAATATGAGGAAAAACTGTCAAACACTACGACAGCTACACATACAACTCACAAAAGGAATAAAATGAAGCAGATATAAAGCAGGAGGTAACAGATGTAGACACAACTAGAACTGTTTGGATAAGAATTGCACCTGTAATAAAAATAGAAATTTTCTAGATTCGCTTTCTTCATTTGTGCACAGTTGCATATTGAGGACAATCTTCTCATCTACAGTAGGCATTTAGCTCCAAAGCACCCCTCGGAAAATGAGAGGACATTCTTTGTAATGTCTCAGTATATGAACCATATAAGCCCAAGCAAATGCACAACTGTACAAATGTATAAATGCAAATCTCAAGAATTAAAGTATCTATACTTGAATAAATGAAATTCATTTGAACGATGAATGAAAAACAGGGCTTAATACTCTTAAATTTAACAACACTTAATATCACGAATCCATTTAAATTTTTCTGTCCATGATCTACTGAATATGCTGTCCTTACTTGGAAAAGATATACTACATTGGTTAGAAAATTGTATTTCTAATTATTATGATCAAGGATAAAATGACGAAAGAAAAACGAATCAACACCAACCTGCAAGCCTAGAGAAGGAAAACTGCGCAACTTTCACTCCAACTTTACCGCACCCTGCTAATATATCTACAGGATCTACTTTTTCACCAATGATGACCTGTGTGGCCATAGCCACAAAGTCATGGTTAAGAGTTTTAGAGACAAAAGGAAAAGACCTTGAGACTCGTACATTGCATTCAATAACTTTTAACTCATTATTCTTGGCTATTAGTTGCATATTGAATGGTCCTGTGACTTCTAGCGAACTGGCAATGGCACAAGATATCGCTTTAATTTTTTTTAGGGTTTCAGCGTTGATGTCTTGAGGGGGAGTGACTAATGTTGCATCACCAGAATGGACACCAGCATTTTCAACATGCTCTGAGACAGCCATGCACAAAATAACTCCATCAAATGCAACTGCGTCGACATCGATTTCTTTGGCTTCAGTGATAAACTTTGAGATAACGACAGGGTGCTCTTTGTTTACTTCACTCGCTGTAGCGAGGTAATTCTCCAGATCTTGAGCATTGTGTGTTACACTCATTGCGGCACCACTTAGGACGTAAGATGGCCTCACTAAACATGGATAGCCAACTTCCTCACAAAATTCAATTGCAGACTGTAAGTTTGTTAATTCTTTCCACCGGGGCTGAGACACTCCAATTCTGTCAAGCATCCTGGAAAATTTGAATCGATTTTCTGCTCCATCGATGGATTCTGGAGAGGTGCCAAGAATCCTTGCCTGCTGACGGTGCAAGTCCATTGCTATGTTGTTTGGCAGCTGGCCTCCCATGCTCAAAATCATTCCCTCCGGATTTTCAAGATTGTAAATATCCATGACTACTTCAAAAGAGATTTCTTCAAAATACAACCGATCGCACATATCATAATCAGTGCTGACGGTCTCTGGATTATAATTGACCATGATTGTTTTTTTGCCAAGACGACGAAGCTCTTTCAGGCAGCTCACTGCACACCAGTCAAACTCTACAGAACTTCCGATCCGATACACACCAGATCCCAGGACCATAATGAGCCCACCTTCAAATTCTATATCATGGCTCTCTGCATTATAGGTCAAATACAGATAATTCGTAGTGGCAGGCCACTCTGCTGCAACAGTATCAATTTGTTTGACAAATGGAATGATTTCATTTTCTTCACGTAGTTTTCGAACAGCTAATTCTGTGCTTTTGATACAACCAGCAATTTGTGTGTCAGAAAATCCCAACTTCTTTGCTTTTAACAATACCTCTACTGGTAGAGCTTTAGTTGACAGGCTTTCCAACAGCGTGTACATATTTATGATATTGACCATTTTGTATAAAAACCACTTGTCAATTTTTGTAAGATCATAAAGACGTTGAATGGAGTAGTTAGCTTTGATTGCTGCAGCTAGAACGAAGATTCGTTTGTCAGTTGGTTGTTCCAGCTCTTCATCAGATACGGCTTTCAAATATGGGTCGAATCCTGAAACGTTTTCATCGACCATTCGAAAAGCTTTTTGAAATGCCTCTTCAAAACAGCGACCCACAGACATTACTTCTCCAACACTCTTCATGGAGCTTCCAATTTTTGTGCTCACTCGGCTGAATTTACTGAGGTCCCAACGTGGCATTTTGACAACACAGTAATCAAGGCTAGGTTCAAAACAAGCTGTTGTCTGACCAGTTACAGAATTTTTAATATCAGGTAAAGAGCGACCTATAGCCAATTTAGCAGCAACATAAGCTAATGGGTACCCTGTGGCTTTACTGGCGAGAGCGGAGCTACGAGACAATCGAGCATTGACTTCAATGATATAATATTCTCCAGATTTTGGATTCAGAGCATACTGAATATTACATTCTCCCACCACTCCAAAATGACGGATTACTTTGATTGCTGTCGTCCTAAGTTTATTATACTCAGCATTTGAAAGAGTCTGACTCGGAGCTACAACAATTGATTCTCCGGTGTGAATTCCCAGAGGATCCACATTTTCCATGTTACAAACCGTGATGCAATTATCATTTATATCTCTGACAACTTCATATTCTATTTCTTTCCATCCTTTTAAAGACTTGTCAATAATCAGTTGGTTTGAATGGGCAAATGCTTGTTGAGCCAGCTTGCGTAACTCTTCAGGCGTGTGAGCAAACCCTGATCCAAGACCACCCAATGCAAATGCAGCTCGCGCCATTACAGGATATCCTAAAACTTCTGCAGCTTCTAATGCCTCTTGCATGTTATAAACAACAGCACTTGGAGCTACTTTTTCTCCAATTTCATTTATCTTGTCAACAAACAGTTTTCGATCCTCTGTTTCAATTATTGAGGTGATGGGAGTCCCCAATACTGTGACATTATACTTGCTAAACACTTGGGATTTTTCCAGCTCAATCCCACAATTCAAAGCCGTCTGTCCTCCAAATGTGAGCAATACTCCATCAGGTCTTTCACATTTTATGACTTGTTCCACATAAAACGGATCAATTGGAAGTAAGTAGACTTTGTCTGCTAAGCCTTTAGAGGTTTGAACGGTGGCAATGTTTGGGTTGATCAGAACTGTTTGAATTTGTTGTTCTCTTAGAGCCTTGATTGCTTGAGATCCTGAATAATCAAACTCTCCGGCTTGACCGATTGATAAACCTCCTGAACCCAGTAACAATACTTTTTTTGGCGTGCAAGATGGTTTGGCGACAGGTTTCTCAGGAAGTAATTTTTTCATTAAATGATCTTTAATGGAGGCACCTTTGGTAACATTTCGATTGTTTTTGTATGAATCAACCAAATCTAAAAATACATCAAAAAGACATTCCAGATCTTGTGGCCCAGGACAGTGTTCCGGATGAAACTGGACACTGCGAACAAAATTTAAAATAAATATTGTGTAAATGACTTGTTTAAATTGGAACATTGCTACTTCAAAGTACAAAAAGACAATTCAGAAAAAAGACAGTTCAATTCAATTCAGTTCAAAGACATTTAACCGACATAGTAATTATTGACTTTTCACACTATTAACTAAAGTAGCAACTTTCAAAATGTAGAATTTGAAAAATCGCATTCTCAAGTAAAAAACTCAGAGCAAACATTCATGGTTATTGATAAAAAAACTTAAAGAACATCATAAATAAAGCTGAAAAAATTTAGTTTCAGCAGAATCTTACTGTATTTAGTGAAGTGTGGGGTCTTTTGGTTACTGATAAATGATTCGAAACAACTATGAAACAGAGAGCCTAATAGATCCACAAAATGTTGCTGGTCAAGCAATGCGCAGGGTGAGTGCCAAGACTATTCACCTACAGTTTTTTTGGCTAAGGGACCAATCATATACACGTTTTCGCCTAGGAATTTTAAAACTACGAATATTCATCCACAACCCTTTTAACCAACATATTTTTGTACCTTCAAGCGTTATCTTTAAGTTGCAAGTTGCAAAAGTTAGAATTGAGCACTGCTCTCATGCTTAAATCTGAATAACTGAAAACTGGAGTTAGAAATCGAGTTAATCTTCAACTCGAAGGATGCATGCAATTTGAGCGGCTCAGGAGTTGATTTAGTTCTGTGACGCATTTTTGTTTAGTGTCACGTCTGAAAGACGAGCGACTTTTGTTGTAATCTTCGTGTTTTTAATGACCATCGCGGGCGGGTGGGCGAGTGGTCCTGGAATCGCAGAGATAGAATGTGTTCATTTAAAAAAATTTACAAACATACATACCTAAAGTACGGCATATTATCATGAACAATCCCTTCATTTGTGTTATCGTTTTTATTTGTGAACAGAGGTTTCCAACCAGAAGGCAAACTGGAACTATCAACTGCAAACCCATGATTTTGAGAAGTCATGAAGCACCTTTCCGTACCTTCTAACACACATGGTTGATTTTGACCACGGTTACCATACCTGTAAAACAGAATTATTGGGTACAAGTGCAACTCATAGATTTATTTAAGAATGGAAAGAAAAAAATTAGACTATTCTTGATACATAGATCTTCGACAAAATCTGACGATAAAATTTTATTGTATGAATCCATGATAAGGCCAACTGAGCTTGCACCTGTCAGATGTGGGCCTGCGCATCACCCTCTGACTTCTGACATCAAGCAGATAGAGGCACTACAAAACAGTATCTAAAGACAACTGACTGGAGCAAGATGGTATGAGCGAAATTTCGATATCAGAGGTGAGCTGGGTGTAGAAAGCATTGAAGCATCAATCTCCAGGATGTACAATAGTTAAGAGGAAAGACTACATTCTCACCCTCATCCAGAGGCAATTCAGCTCCTAAATTAGAGTGCAGATGTAGGACAGCTAAAGAGATGTAAATCTTATGAGCTCAGCTCATCTCTGTTTGATCGGAAATAACGGCAAGTAATCGAGCCATCGTGCCCTAGCCAGACTATGTCATCTGTAGGACCTAAGTGTGAAAGATATCTTCTTACAAGGTGTTTTTTTTGTTGTTATGTATGTTTATAGTTGTTTCACCAAGTTTTCCCCAGTCATTTCCATTCTTTTAAATTTGGTCCTTCTATACATTGCTTCAAATTTCTACTTTCAAATTGGATTCTTAATTCTTAAAGATTTTCTTAATTTTTCTAAATTTCTCATGTATTCATAAAGTTTTTCTCGATTTCAATTGTAAAGTAAAATATTTAATTGCTCCTCAAAGTATTAAAACCTTTCAGCATTCTAAAATCATTGTAGAACCAATATTTACATTTGATTTCATGATAAAAACAAATTTGTAAAGACTAAGGGAGTCGGTAAATGACTATGAAAGTTTGTTCAATTGTAAGTTTACACTAACTAACTGACTAAATAAATAAATAAATAAAAAATTTCTAGTCAAAAATTCTTAATGAATTTAGGTAATAACAAAGCCACTGAGACACCGCAGAAAGAGTGCATAACTTACTTCAATTTGTATGTTTTACAGCCAACGGCAGATGCTAGTAGCTGATGTCCTAAACAGATTCCGAAAATTGGTTTCACTCTCTTGCTGTCCGATGAGGATAGACTCAAGACATTTTTCAAATTATTAATTGTCTCATGGCTCATGCAAGGGTCCCCTGGCCCATTACTTAGAAAGAGTCCATCATAACTGTCCGGATGAATAGGATGATTCCATGGCACTACATCAACTCTGACATTCCTTGATAATAAGCAGCGCAACTGATTATATTTCAATCCACAGTCTACGACACAAATTTGAAGACGGCCCTCAGGATTATATGTGATAGGTAACTGTGAAAATAACGTGATATAAATACAGTTGAACTTGAAAATTTAAAAAGGAGGGAGATTTTATAAGTGGACCGCGTACTGGGCAATTTAATTTTTGACATGAAAACAATTGTGTGGATTTTTGTGCAAATTTCGGTGAATTTTCTCCATAGTACGAAGCAAATTAATATCTGATCACCCACATTCCGACAGCCGTGCTAATGTACTAGGCCAAGTCTTCAGCTAGACTTTAGTCGATCAGCGAATGCGGACTCCTCCGCTTCCCTATATCATAGCAGACCACCACAAATATCGGTTCAAATGGGTCCAGAATTAAGAAACTTCAAAATCGATTTTCTCTTTCATTTCGAGTAAAAAAAAATCCGAAAAACTTTAAGAGAGCTTAACCTAATCAGTGCTTAAAGAAAATGTATTAAAAAATAGGACCCATTCAACCAAAATTTCCCAGTAGTTTTTATGTTTATCTCTTTGCTCTCAGATTAAATCACATGGGCTAGTTTTGCTTATCTACGTAGGAGTGCTCGAACATTTTCTTGTTTTTTTATCAAACTACTAAGCTTACTAATATCTTTGATAATGAAGCACAATGCAACATCCTTCCCACTTTTAAACGGCTTCGACTTGATAAAAAGTAATTTTCTTTCACTAAATCTGATTTTTTTTCCTTTTAATCCAGCTTCAAACCATTTTCAACATTATATTTGATGACCTGGATAAAAACAGTAGCTTCAGACAAAAAATTAAGTTATGTAGTTCACAAACCTTCAGCGAAACTTCTGAAACAAGATTCCTTTTATTAGGATCCTGAAACAGACCTCGAGAAATATCTCCTGAGCCATGAACTATTCGCCCAACAATCGGTCCCTTTGTTCGGATGTACTTGGTGAGAGCACGAGTGTCAATGCCAGCAATTGCAGGGATATTATTTGAAACCAACCACTGCGATAAAGTTTGATTGTGATTCCAGTGACTTGGTTCCTCACAAATTTCTCCAACAATGAGACCTGCAGCCCAAATTTGATGCGATTCAAAATACCTGCATTGAAAAGAAATAGATGTAACAAAAATCTTGCATAAAACCCTCTGCAAAGCCAAAAAATTGCACTGAGAACATAAAGAATCTGCACGTTTCAGAAGTAAAAAATACAGTAAAATATGGGTATTCGTAATCAGGTATCTTCAATGAACTAGCAAAAAGGGTAGAACATTGCCAGGACATTCAGATTGATGAATAATAAGGGAAAGCTGTTCAACAGGTGGTCAAAAGAAAGAGAGAAACGCAAGTTATATTGAAGTGGCTCCTGTCTTGGTGATGAATCTGTGGGATACATTTAGTGTAACATAATTAAATATTATTTGGACCAAAACTTACGTTTTTGCTTTTTTAAATAATGAGTCAATTCAGAATTTATTTTACACCTCTTTTTCCAGGTTTTTATTCCCAGCCACATATTGTAAAATATAAGTTGATTTTTTTTTTTATCGTTGGGTATTATAAGCTCTTTGATCTCCTAAAAATCCATCTTTTGTCACAATTTGTTCTACAATTCTACTGGGCTAATCATGATGATTTTTGCCGCTATCAGCAGGTCATAGTCCTAGATGAGCCCGCTTTATTCAGATTTTGGAAGTATGACCCACGTTTTTTTCATAACGTGATAAAGTTATGAATTCTTCCATTAAAACAATAAATATATGTCACAGTTTGATCTAAAAATCTACAGGGTCGATTTTTATGGTTTTTGTGACTCGAAAGGAGATCGTCTCTAGATGATGCCTGCTCTACTTAGATTAATTCACAGAGCCCTGCGTAACGGGCCTCAGAGGGGTTGAGGCGCCCTCTGGGAGTTAAGCTACATGGTAACCAGGGGGTGTGCAACCTCCTAAACTATTGGGTACTACTTCTAAGAGGATTAGATACCGCAGAATGTAAAAAATAATAATAAAATTAGTATACTCACAGAGGAATACCATGTTTATCTTTGGTCTCTGCTGGTACTCCATAGTTGCCAATGAGAGGATACGTCAACACTAAAATTTGAGCATGATATGATGGATCAGTAAGCGATTGAGGATAACCCACCATACCCGTTTGGAAGACTGAAAAGACAGAAAACATGAAATTAAATTACTAAGAAAACTGCTTTAACCAGAAGTAAAAATCAATATTCAACAATCAGGGTAATCATGCTAGCATAATTATATTAGGCGTAAACGTTATGCAAAAGGAGGCAATATTTTTTTTATTTATTTATTTAGTTATTTTTTTTTTTTTTGGATGGGGGGACATTTACCCTCTTCCCTCTCAGCCTGCTTATGGTGCGTTAAACCTAGAATTTGCCCCGGAAATCGACTGAGCAATTGCTCCCTAGGACAGGATAGAGTTTTCCGCGTCGAAATCTCAAAATCCGATTTCTCGAAGGTCTGCCGTGCTAAGCAAGAACGTCGTAAATCCATCAAGATTTTCCCGAGTTTTTTGGAACTTAACACTTTATAAAATAAAAACCGTTTTACCTATGCACCTCAAATTTTCAGGTTCAGTTCTTGTTAGTATTTGCGAAAGAATTATGTAAAAACATTGTCCCAAGGTACACAAGCTTTTCTACTACGATACATTGATTCCAACAAATGTAAAATGAGTTTACGGCGTTTTTGCGTAGCACGGCAGAGGTGCCCTACTCGACTCAACTCGACAACAGCCGCTTTCCTGATAAGTTAGACTGCAGGGACGTTCACAACTTAGATAGCGATCGCAGTTCGCCTTCATTTAACAAGTTATGCAGCACGCGTTCCTACGCGTCAAAATAGTGGTATCTGATGCGAATCAGCTGTTCTCATAAGGGAACAAGTCCATTTTTGCATGAGCCTTGGCTTGCATAATAGGACATGCTAACTAAGACTCATCGAGGAGTGGACCTGTTCCGTTTTGAAAACAAATGATTCGTGTATCGATGAATAAAAAAGGTAAATACTTGCGAGCCGATTATCGCCATATTATACTTGGAGCTTTCATTCAGGTTCGGATCAACTCAACAATCCACCCTACTTTTCCTTCTCACGGACAGCTTTTCCGCAGATCCAAGGGTGCTGTGATACGATTTCGGTCTCGCCGCTGCAAACTCATATCACCATCAATCCGCGAAGTGGGCGGTAAAAAGTGTACTGAGCGACTCATCCGAGACTCAATAAAATTCTTTAAAAATCAAACCCAGAGAAAAATGAGCATTACTGAGGCAACTGGAGGCGAATTTGCTCCCCTTGCAAAAATCTCTCGGATGGCACTGCATGCTTGAGATCTAATGCTGTAGAAACATCCTAACATTTTTTTTTTTTTTTTAAAATAAAATGCGAATTCACCAGAACAATTGAACCTCTCAGTTCGAAAACGACCAAACTCCGGTTTTTATACGATGTTCATTTTTGTGTGAAGAAACACTCTCCCTAGATGTTACGCAGGTTTCCTCGTCTTCGGAAAAAATTCGTTTTTTCGAGATGGGTCGTTTTCGAACTGAGAGATTCAGATAGGCACTTTACTTTGAAAATTTCGGAAAGGTTTTTCGCGTTAATTTAATTTAACGCATCTGAAAAATAACGAGGAAAAATATTTGTATCTTCTCAAAAATGGATTTTTCATCGAGGACAATTTGTCAACAGACAAATGCGCATACGGTGTTCTTCCTTACGACAGGACAGAACAGGTTATTGATAACAACATTTTTTTTTACCTCCGTGAAACTGCCCAACAGGCAAACGGAGAGAGAGGAATCCTCCGGTCCTCCCCTCTCTTTCTGTGTGGTTTCTGACCTACTAGCGACTGTCATGGACAGGTAAAATTTAAATACTTAGTTAGGAGACGGCAGGGGATTGAATACAAAATTTAAAAAAAAAGGCAAGACCCGTCGTGAAGACCAGTCATGCGTTTTCTGGACATCATCCTGATTTAGCGAGGAAGTGCCGTCGCTACCTGAGAAATAATATGGATTGTGCCGCGGGACTGCGACTGCCACTGACGGGAGCATCCAGTCGTGGTTTCTAAGGACTGGAGGGACAGCAAGAGGGCAAGGAGGGGGCTAAGTGCTTACATTGCGAAATAAATATTGAGCACCCCACGCTCTCTAGTTCGTTCGAAGGAAGGAGAGCTGATGAAAGCTCGTTTTTCGAACACGTGTGTCGACTTGTAGAGCGTTCCCTCGATCTCCACGATGTGCTCTTCGTTAAATCGATATTTTGCAAAAATACGTAAATCAATAATTGGAGATTTTCGAGATTAGGGGCAGTTTATTTTGGCAGGGGGAAAATGAGCGAATTGCCAAGTTTCGTTGCCCCTGTGACGGAGCGGCTTACTTCCGTTTCTACTTAAGCCCTGTTTTACTAATGAATCCAAGATTTCTGGGGCTTCATCAGTGGCGTGGCGTGCCTTGCGATACATCGACTGATCTACCATTTAAACCTGTGGAAAAGGATCGATAAACAGGGTGTTCGCAACGAACACCTTAATTATCGATTCTTTACCACGGCTCCAAATGAGGAAATATCGATAACCTATACCTACTGTGGCAACGTTGTGATGCATTTAAATAATGCTTTTCTCGGAAAATCGGCAATGTCGAAATAAAAAACAGTTATAGTTTACTTCATCAGTACGATAGGAAACGCTGAAATAAAGTTGATGTATAAGAGAATCAATTAAGGCTTCAGTTATTGTCGCATGCGGCGAATACTACTCGAATTTCATTATAAGGCGTGGATGCGACTTATATTCGGGCTCCATGGATATCCGTGTTGCATACGCACGGAAGGGAAGGCGTTTTGAAGGCGTGAAGCCCACCGTTGGCGCCGCGGGTGAAGCTGTGAGTGCCAGGACAGTGAAGACGCCTTCCATTCAGTGCGTATGCAACACGGACATCCATGGAGCCCGAATAGTTGCATCCAGGAGTTAAAATGGGTGTTTGTCGCATTCAACACTAACTGAGGGCGCTTTAAATGTTCTTCTCGCACCGTGACTTAATTTTGGAAATTTTGAATTTGGCAAATTCTCAGACACATCACTTCAGTCGAAAAACAGTTCGTGAGAAGCAGCCTAAGAGATATTCAAATCTCACCGATACAAGAAATGGAGAATTTGCACAAAACCATTTTATTGATTCATCTGAGAGTGTCTAGTGAGCTGAGTTCGCAGTGTTTTTCATCATTTTTTTCTGACACAGGAAATTGGAGAAAAATAAATTTAAAGGTGAGAAAATTTGCCGCTATGCGACATCATCTGGCGGTAATTTCCATTTAAACACATGTATTTTAGCAGATTAGATTATTTTGTCACATTTTCTCCAATTGTTTAATTTAGAAATCAAGGATATCCTCGTATTCAGTTTTCTTAGCAGTATCTTTTTAAAGCCGAAATTTACAAAATTTAAGACACCTGCAAATTCTCTTTTGCTTCTTTTTTTATGTGCAAATTATCAGCCGCGAAGGGTGCAGACTGGAGAGCGAGACTCCGGCATCTAACCTTTTTTAATTCACGTGTCATTCTTCCCCCAAGATTGGCAAGCGTGAAATCGTCACTCGTGACGATATGCGTAGGCGCGAGATGTTCCCATGCCGCCGAGAAACAAACCGGTTTTGGTTGTCAGCACGCCGAGCCGGCCGCGCCGGGTATTTTCGATAAAGGGAACGCTACCCGGCGGGCATGCGCTCAACACTCAACGCAATTGAACGCAATGAGAGTGAACGCTCATAACGAGAGCAGCGAAGCGCGCGCACGTTGAGCGTTCTCGAAGCATCCAAAGTTCGGCGACCGTAAGGTGCTAAGTTCGATTAAGGGATTCAAGTTGGAACTTACCGACTTCGGCGCATACTTCATCACACCTGGCTCCAAACGCGTGGCCGTGGAATTTGGTGCCGTCCTCCAGGACGAGACACGCCGTCGAGTTGCTGGAAGTGGGGCACATCTCCACGTGGTTTCTGGACGCTGGCGACCACGCTAGACCGGGAAATCACTGGAGCCTAGGGACGGATCAGCTGGAGGATGAGAGAGGAAGACCGGCTCGGGCTGATCCCAAACGCAGACTACTCCGCGACTCCGCGCTGCGCCATGGCCGAGACCTTGGACCGCAGTTGCCAGCTCGCAGTCCCCAAAGTCCTGGACCTACCATTGTTCGGAAACCCTGCTTGGAGCTCCTGACCACCTAGCCGATGCGTGCTCATTGGTAGGTATACACAAAACAAAGGCGTCCGTCTGTGGTTGAACGAATAATACATTTATATACATACATATTGGTTAATCCCACCTCTCTCCCTCCCATCGCACTGTGCGCGCTCATTGTAAACAAATCCTTCCCCTCCCTCGCCCGCCCGTATAATAATGAGGAATGAGGATTCCCATGTGATTTCCACGTTCTTATCAGCGGAGCGGCTCAACGCGACGGTCCTTATCGACCGGTGGTATAATTGAGCGCACCCACTGTGGTCGCGCAGAAAAACTTCCTCAGGACACAGTGACATAATTGAGACATTCTTTGAAGGAACGACGACGGGCAGGCCTCGCAGAGATACTCATCATTGTGCAACATCTTATATGATTTGTAAAAATCCTAACCAAAAAAAAAAAAAAAAAAAAAAAAAAAAATGCTGATGGTTTTATAAATGAGTAACAATATGATAAGTAGAGTCTTGTTTATCCGCGACCGCGGATAATCTAAAATCGCGGATGGTCCGAAACTAAGCTACTTGACCAGGAAAAGCTATCTAAAGGGCTGTATTTAAAAGACTTTTAAAAAACTTATCAAATATTAGGCAGAGATGTAATTATTATTAGTTAATTTGTAAATACAAAAGCATGTTACCTTACAAGAAGTTATTTTGGCTGACATAATTTCTAGAGAGTCTCTTTATGGGAGCATGCGCCATTCAAGTGCAAAGTTTTTGCAAAGAAAAAAACCGCGGACAGCCGGAATCGCGGATAATCGGGACTCTATTAATTGTACATTTTTAGGGGGGAAATTCCGGCGGGACATACCTCATTCAGCAGTTGCACCATTCTGTCGGCGTTGCGAGGAACATGTGTCATTTTTCACGGAGAATGGCTTACTTTAAATAATTAGGAACGGTTGCAAAGGAAATAAACTGATGGGTGTAAATATACAATATTTCCGACGGGAGACACTGAATTTTGGCAAACTAGGATTTGCAAGAAATCGAGATTTGAGAATTAACATCGATCGGTAACAAATCGACGATGCAATCACGAGAAAAATAAAAATCTGGACTGCTGTGTTTCAAAATTCCCGCGCCTTACATAAGTATATTTTTGAGAGAATGTATTTCAGGGTCTGTTAGCACGGTCGAGAATATTCTGAGGAGGACAAAGAAAAATCACACCGAATATTGTCCGATAACGATGATCAGCTGAGAACCCTTCAAGAGAATAAAATCTGACGGGGAATCTGCCATGCCGCAAACCGAGACACGTGGTTTGGTAGTATCACAATCGACGGGTACCCATGGAATAATAACATGAAGTCGAAATAACATCATGCTGTTCGTGATAAATGACTTGAGAGATTTTTCGATTTTCCTGAGAATGATTTCCAAACTTGCACGCGTCACTTGAACGCAACTACGCGTAAAGCTATGTACATACTATGAAACTCATGAATGGAATTATAGAACGAGCGAAAAGGGAAAAGAGTACATAGAGACGAAAAATATAGCTGTGAGCCTCAAAAGCTCGAGAACCGATTTCATGACGTCGAAAACTTTACTGACGATGAGATATTTGTGTCTCTACAAGAAAATAATGAGAAAAAAATCTGATCAACGGAGAATGACGGGTATGCGACTCTATCGATAACACACCTTAAATATGATAAAAAATAACCAATTCGTAATATCAATTCTCTCTCGGAATACGCTGCAGAACGCATCGAACGAGCACAAATTTTTATCTAAATGATTAGAGTAATTATATTTAGCCTAGCAGTTGCAAAAGTTCTCTACATCGCGCTGTGAACAAATAAAACCTAGCGAGGTACCTCAAATATCAATCGGCAAGAGATAATTCATATTCTTCCTACATCATACAATTCTAGCAATTCAATATATATTAAGTCCGACTCGTCCTCGTCTAAGGCTGAATACGAACGTTGCTGAAATTTCTCGGAAAAATGGTCAATTGCGGGCGATGATTTGACCAGGGTGTCTACTAACACAGGTTGGCCAAAAATTAGTACTTTTACGGTTTTGATTTTTGGCCAGTTTTACAGTGCTTTTTCAGTGCATTCCTACGAAATTTAGTACCTCCTCAGCGGAAAAAATTCAGTACTTCTTCAGTACCTCCAATTGACGAAATTCGAAAAATTGCAACAATTTGAAATTCTCGCTCAAATTGCGACAAAAATGACGAAAAAATTAAACAAAATTCTGGACCTTCGTACGGAATTTCCGCACTTTATCAGTACTTTCGGACCGCCCTTAAAATATCAGTACTATTTCCGGACTTCCCAGAGATTCCGGACTTTTGGACACCCTTGTCAAAACGCTCGATCGCATTTTTGCGGAATTGGTCCACTGGACACGAGAAGCGCAGCTCAAAAAGTAGACATTTTAAAATTAATCATCACGAAAAATCACGAGGTACGTTGTTTTCGCGCCAATGGCTAAGAGACAAAACCCCTTAATTTCAGAAAAAATCAACACTCGTCATGCATATTTGAGGGCTTATTCACTGAAACAAAAGGTTGCTCTCCTGAGGTTTGCGCTAGTGTTTACTGCACGGACGGTGAAAATAATAGATAATATTCTTTTTAACGGATATGAGTTCCGAAATGGACGAAGGAATCCATTTCCTGAAAATGGGTAGTCCAGCTTGTCCTCAATTACTTTTGAACGAATATTGAACTATGGACTACTACGGGCGTTAAATTGAAACTGATGAACATGATTTCTCGCTGACTTTCAGCGGAAAATTACAGGACTTACACGAACAGTTATTTTTAGCAAGTTTTCGCGGATATTCACTTAAGATCGCGGTTATTCATGGGACCCCGGCGTTCTTACAATTCTCGTGGTTTCATTCTAACAAAACGGAATGGAGCGAAACAGAATACAACAGGACACGAGAACGTTGCTTAAATGCTTTACTTAAAGGACATTCACGGTTTTGCAGACACACGCGTAAGATCGCGGTTATTCGCAGAATTCGCGGTTATCGCAGTAGCTGGTGATTAATAGTTCCCGCGTAAAGCAACAAAACTTCAAGAACGCAAATTTCATTTACTGTGTTTTAAAATCCTTGCTCCCATTTTACTTTATCAAGGGAGAAAAAACCAACACTGTGGCCTAAAATGTTCACAATTCACCTTTGAAGAAGACGTTTTTAAGGAATGATGTTTAGTATTTTTTCACTCAGAAAATACGTTACAAGAGCAAGCCTTAGAGCAATACAGACCGGATCTGCGTTTTTGCAACCTACACTAACAATATGAGGCAATTGGTTTCCTGCCTACAGAAATCAATGTTAAAAATATAACCTTTGATCTGGAATGCCAAATATCCTTTCATTTTATTTGAACGAAGAAGAAATCACTGAGTGCGGAAACAATGCAAACTACTGACGAAGTGCTGCCTTTTTGTAGTACAAATCTCTTGCATATTTATCATAGTTTGGGTCTCTTTGAACAAAACAATACCATACACAGAGCTCGACAAGTAGTGCTAAAATACTGATAACATAGCCGCCGAAGAGAGCAACTATTGCACCATACAATTTCTTCAAATTCATAAGAGCTTTCACTTCTTCACTATCTAGAGAGGCTTCCTCGGTTAAGATCACCAACATCACATCGTTTAACCATTTTTTAACTAGGCCTCCTTCAATAACTCGTCGTAAAAATCTATCAACACGGGGTTTCAATGGTGAATTCTTCTGTAGTCCAATTGATATCGGCATGTTGATTGAGCAATCTTTCATTATGTGGAGCAGTTTTTCTGAATTGTTCTCTTGGTGATCTATAAAAGATTCAGAAAACCGACCCATAACATAAAATAAAAGTAAAGGAAGATTCTTTCTGAGTGCTTAAATGATTTCAAAATAATGATTGAAAACAATAGCAGCGCGCACTAGTGAATTGTAGATTGCTAGATAGAAGAGACAAGAAGGCACTCAGAATTTATACACAGAGTTTCCATGAAATTTTGAAACATTATTCCATACACAATAATTCATCAAACTACTTTCATAGGAATAAAAGTATACAGATATAAAAACGTATGGTGTAAAGATTCTGAATGATTAATTCATTTAAGATAAGGGGGAATAAAGGGTCTCCTGACTACGGAAATCAATGTGAAAAATATGACCTTTGATCTGGAGTGTCAATTATTTAACATATGAGAGGATGGGTAAAAAGAAGGTTGTCTAGTGTCTGATCGGGAATTTCTTTCATACTTCGTGCTGTTGATTTTAAAAAGACTAAATATTTGTCTACCATCTCATCAACTGATTTTTGGAAATAAAAACCATTATCTTCTGTCTAAAAGAGTATGTTTGTTTTCCTTTTTCATTTTTATTTGTTTATTTAGATAGGAGGTACCTGATGAGAAACATTGAGGTCATTATAAAAAACACGAACAGTGAAAAAAAAAACAAAAACCAGGGTGTCTTGCGTGTCATCATCTAAAACCACTGCTTTTTCATTGACTTTTCTTTACTCTTTCCATCATCTGTACATCTCTCTCCATTCGTTCGATGAGAGAAGACTTTAGTTTCTTTTGAAAATTTGGCATGCATTGCTAAAAACTGCTGAATGAAAAAAAGGTTGAAATAAAACTTACCATTCGTGGAGTTGCTTTTGTGCCCAGAAACTTTTCTGTTCTGACTGAGAAACTGGAGGAAATAAATATTTTCATAATAAGCAAAACGTCCTTGCATGATTCTGTCGACAGCTTCTTGAGCGTTTGGTACATCCTCAAATTTTCTGCCAATTTTTTGCCCAGCAGCATCTAATGAAGAGAGGAAAAAATTCCTGTTCTGCTCTCCCCATCCACCACATAAAACAGAGTTGTCCTCAGCCAACTGCTCTAAAGTATCAATTGTAACACTGAAAAGAGAGAGAGAGAAAAAGTTTCAAGGTTTTTGATAGTTTCACAGAAACAAGATTTACTGGGCTTCCATACAGTTAGGCCCTTTCTTGTGTCACCTCTTCCTCCCAAAATTTAAGTAAAAACTTTGAAATGTGCTACTAACTTTGGGATAGTTAAAAACTAACAGCAATCATCTGAAAATAGAGTCGCAGCAGTCCCAATGTTAAATTATTGTATAAGTGACCAATTAACTAACTCAAAAAAGCTCCCCCCGCCCCCTCCCCGTTCACAGCCATCCCTTGGAATGTTCTTAATAAAAAACTACGTCGAAATATTCTGTTGTTTTAGGCTGAATCACTTTTAAACCTACCCCTTTTTTGAGGGGTCTTTAGTCGTTAGCAAAGGGAAAGGGGCAATAGAGGATAAGTCCATCAATTGTTTCAATGAATCATCTCATGGTGCAAGGAATATTTACAGTGTAGACGGCCCAATTAAGTTTATAAAAGCCCTGAAAAATAAATTTTAAAGCACTCCTGACTATTCAATGAAAGAATTTGCAGAATAGTCAGTTAAAAGATGTTGCATTAGATTTTGGTTTCGATTTTGTTGTACTCAGATTGTACTAGATGTTGGCCGTATTGAAACTACACCTGTTTCTTAGATGTGCTATATCGATGGTGAAACTGCAGAAATACTTATATTGGTTTGCAAACTTGCAACCTTCCTGTCATACTTTATTTCCTACATTAAAAACTACTTGGTGTCATTTTTTTAAAACTTCAGTTATTTTCCTTCTAGATGTTAAGAATATTCTACGAACATTTCAAGCCATTGTGTTGGTTTCGGTCTCCTTTTGAATGATAAAATATACAAGGAAATTCTAAAACATCGCAATCGAGTTATGCACTATGAAGAAGATGATGGAGTTGGATTTAACTTGTGTGAATATGGATTCAGTATAATAAAAAGTTTATTTCTTTGGTTGGAAGTTTTACAATCCATCACTTTCTGTCATCATAAAAACAATGAGAGAAAAATTTCCCCCAGATCAAAAATCAAATCTTACCGTGGAACTGGATTTGCTAGAATAGCGGTCAGACTTGCTCGATAGGAAACAGCTACTAAAAGGCAGTAGATCCACCACCATCCACTTAAAATTCTCAATGCCCAGCCAGTCGGGATTTTAGGTAATGAGACAAGTATCAACATCCCGAAGGTGTACAAAATACTGTTCTGCAAGCTTTCAAATAGGTACAGACCTTGCGACTTTATCGAATCTGAGTCCTCTGATATTGTGACCTTTTTCTTTTTCTCAATTTTTACTTTTGTCAACTTTTGAGGACTCTTGTAATAATTGAAATATATATTTTTTGTACCCTCATGCAACCTCATTTCCATATCGATCTTCTTTTTATCGACACATAACCTCCGAAGGAGATACAGGAATGAGCTAGTTTTCTTCTTGATGTAATTTATAGCAGTATTTTCTTTTGAAACTTTCATCTCAATCTTGCTAGCCCCAGATTTTGAATAGTCTTTCTTTTCTAGATATCGATGAAAATTTGCTAGGCTGTAAAATAAGAAACCGCCGAGTAGTAAAACTATTAGAACTGCAATCCACATAGACTTACTGAAAAAAAAAGAAAAAAAGTAGATTACTATGGGTATTAGGGATTTTTAATCAGATTTATTAATTTGCAACTACCATTTATCAGTCCAAACGCAAATGACTCCTGTGCTAGCAAGTCAGAAATGAGATGTTTGGCGAAAAATGTTTGGTACTACCGATTATTTGCACTGACAACATAACCAGTGCACAGAAATAGTAATTTATCTTATTTTTAATTGAGAAAATTTCGAAATCCTCTTGTTTCTGAAAGAATTTTACAATTTTTCAATTCTTTTTTCCAGAGTGTATAAATTTCTTCTTTAAACTTGATGCTCTCATTTTTTCATAGTTCAAAACATCATCAAATAAGCATAGATGAAATTTATGCTTTAATCTCTGTCATATTAAATTCTCAACCAAATATATGTATACAGAATGAAAACACTCCATTTCCGCAGCGTTAGTATGCTCACGGAGGATGCATGCTCTCTCTCCATTCTGGCCTTCATAATGTGTTTTAATAGTTCTTGTGCCACAGGAATTTTGCTCCTGAATAGACTTTTACACACATGGCATAGTTCTTTTTGTTTCCAAACTATTTTTAATTTTCTGATTTTTTGGCTCTGCGGTTCAATTAAAATGATGGGCAAGTTATCATTATCTGACTCATTAAAAAGCCTGCACTGCATGTAATCTTATGCATTACATCCAACAAATTATAGGGAGCATTGATCCCAAACACAGCATCACTTGTAAGGTATCCATTGAAACAAATGAAAATCGGAAAAGGTTTTGAGCTTCTTCTGACCAAAAAGTAAAAATTCTCAAAAGCACACTTGCCAGATGGACTGTAAGAGGTCTACAGAGTAAAGAAATATTATTTGATATGAACTTACTGGAATGGCAAAATGAGAGTCTTCCATGAATTATCTGACAGAGATTCTGGAGTCAAAAACGTGAGACACTGAGTTGTGTACGGTGTGGACAAGTCCAGAATCTGGAGGTGATATGGAGTGTAGTACAAATTTCCAAGTGCTATTTCAGCCCTTCCGCTACAAATTTCACCGAGTAGTCCGGAGAAAGAGCCATTCAACTGGACTCTACCCCACTGCTCTGAAGCAGAGTTGACAGATTCATAAAGATTGGGACGGAAATTCATTGCAGAGGCCAAAGTTTGGAGTACCTAAAATAAAAGAAAGAGGAGAAGGTTTTGAAGGAATTAATCTTTTGATATAACTGAACGTATTGAGTTCGTTACTGTAGAAGATACAGCAACGTTGTACCGTGCAAAAATCATCAGAATATTGCATATAATTTATCCTTCTATTATTAACTCATTAAAAGTTGCTTTCACACATTAATTCTGAAAATACATACCTCAATTTATGAATCGGTAAAATTTGCACATTTTTCTTTTCATCAGTAGAAAACTTATCAACATCCTTCATTAGAAATGCCCATAATTCTATTTGCTCTGAGTGAAAATTCAGTCTATGAAAATTCCTGAAAAAACAATTTTTGTGCTCCAATTGGGCAGTGGCAAGGAATTTTCGCAGGGTTGTTGAGGAATTATTCAGGGGTAAAATTTCGGAAAAAACCAAAAAGTTTATTAAAAATCTCAAAACAGCACTTCTAAGGGAGGAACAGGTAATCAAAATCTGACTATCGAGTTGATGTGGCAAGGTGATGCTTGTTGGTAAGTTCAGCTTATCACCAAACGTCTTCCCCCTGGCTACATGATCAGAGTTGGCCGAACATTTCATTCCAAACCGAACCCACTCCTGGCATTTTCAAAACGTAGTTTCTTTACCATTTCGGGTTAAAGAAAACTGAAAAATTTCTAAAAGTATAGTTCACTCTAAACTTTCAAGAAATGAATGGGAAAAATGGATGCCACCAAAAAAGAACAGGAGAGCAAAAATGAAATACTGTCATTGAGATACGTTCGTTTAGAGATTAGCCATGGTGTCCTCACTTTTTTAGCATTTTAGTAACTGAATTAACCTTTAATTTGGGCTGTATGTTTCAAGAAATACCTTGTGAATGACACTAGCTATTATCTCAACGTACCTTTTAAGGATTGACATTTTTCTGATGCTTCCTTTTTCTTCCATTTGGTCAGTGACAGTTCTGACAGATGTTTAACCAATTAAAAAATGATAAGTGACATGGGCATAGAGCACAAAAAAACTCATTATGTACTGTGTATCTATTTTTTAAGTAATGTTGGAAGGTTGTAAATAAACGAACCAAAGCGCATTGAATGAAATTATTGGAAACATGGTTCTTGCAGTCAAATGAAAATTACCTCAATTTCAAGTCCACCATAAGCAACTGATTCACCTTGTTCATCATCTGTTTCATTTTGTGACGGGATACTGCTTTTGACAACTGATGGTACATGTTCAAATGTGACAACGCTAAGTGTTTGCCCTTGAAGGTCAGAGGTTTTGTCATGAAACAAGTCTAAATTGGTCTGCCCAATTTCCAATTAAAAAAGAAGAAAAAGTAAAAGTCAATAATGGAAATAAAAAAAAGCTAATCCATGTATATTGTGACATAGGTCCCTATCCTTCGCAGGTAAAAACAAAATGACAATTCAGTATGTTGGAGTTTTTTGCCTACATGCGTTAAAAATTCAGCATAAAACTGAAATGCTGAAAAGCGGAAAATGACAAGTGTTGATGATTTTGCAAACATGTGTTAAGTTCAGTATGCAACTGTAAAAACAAAATGCCTAACACTCCTTGACCCCTCACCCCCCTTCGAAAGTTCTAAAAATGTTTTGTCATATAAAACTAAGAAAATCAATGAGAACACTGCACAACTAGGCAATGATTTTTAAATTTACTTTCGGGAAGAAATTCTCTATTTTTGTAATAGGTTAAGGGGAAAAAAATCATTTGTCAAGGCTAGGAGGTATCTTGCTCAAAACTTTTGGAATAATAAAGAAAATTAAAACTTTTTGAATTTTAAAAAAACTGGATTTTCAAATTGGAGGTAAATACCTGAAATTTTCCGCGTCTCCAAGTGTCAATTCTTCTTGGAACTAAAGCTCCTCTGATGGGTACAGGGAATGGAACTGTTGATAGCTCATACCTATCTGAGTTTACATATCGTCGGATGAATATGACATTGACAATCTTCTTCCAGAGATAATGATAATCAGCATGAAACAGGCGCCAATCATGTAGCAGAAGAAATTTTGCTCGAGTGTCTATAACTCGATACCTGCAAGTGAAGTCATTACAAATAATACGTTGATTACACACAGGAATCGAAAAATTAAAAACTCAAAGGAAGGTTTTGAAAAATTTTCCATGTAAAAGGTTGGTTTTCAACAGCAAAATACTATGGGTGAAAAATTTTCATTTGTAACATTTGATGTTGTAACTGAAAGGTTTTTCTTCATGCCTCATTGTTGTCCTGCTGAATGGAGGACACAAAGACGTATTCTCAACACATAACCGCATGTTCATGCTTTTTGTATCTCTTGCACAAAGATAATTACATGTCAACGGTGAAAATGTAGGAACACATAACCCAGTTAGCGTTGTTGAAGACCTATCCTTTCTTATGTTTTTAGTGAAGAAAAACTCTTAAATAATTTTTTGGGGTCTTCATTGATTTTTTTTTTGAAGAATAATCTGTGACACACACTTTTGTTGATTTGTTAACCTTTGATCAAATAAAATGGGGCCATTATGCAAACAAGAAACGCGTTCTTGCGGTTTCACCGTTGATATGAGCAAGGTTGTACATAGACTCTGTGAAAATAGCCAAGTCAACAGATCAAAACAGTGAGTGAGAACTTGTTGTTGCTGTTTGATAACATCTGACCAAAAATATACTTCTTTATTTGTCAATTGAACAAAGAAGTAGTCATATCATTTAACTCTTGTTGTTGACATGAGATTTAAAAACATCGAAAGAAAAATATTTACCTGTCCCCAAAGCGCAGAAACCGAGCAACTTGAATGGCATTTGAAATCAGAAGAATGTAAGTACTGCAACCTTCTTTACGGATCCTTTCAATAACGGAAAGTGTTTTGAAATTAGGAGACAGTAAATCCTCTGAGTCTTTCACCAGAATCTAAAAAAAATAAATTTCAGAAGTGATCAATGGAACTAATACTTTTGCACCGAAAAAATGAACAATGAAGCTTATACCTGTTGTAATAGTGTGAAAAAACTAAAAAAAAAAAAAATATTTATAAAAAAAGGAGTATTTTTATACAAATCATTTAAAATTACACTTGTAATGAAATCAAACCATGTCAAAATAACATGTCATTGACTTAAAGGCTTATCTCGTAAAAAAAAGTTAAACAGAAGAAATCTCAAAACAAAAAGACACCTAAGGTTCAGTAGCAGGTGCAATTTAAATGAATGAGCAATTAGGGACAAATGACTGACCTTAAAATTAGGAATGAAGTTGAATTTTTGATAAAAGAGAGATTGAAAAAGCGTATCATGATAGCTGTCCATAAAGATGGCAAGGCAGTTGAATTCTGATTTCATTCGAGGCAAAATATCCATTAAAAGTATTTCCAAATCGATGGGCGGCAACGTCTCTTCAAAGCGATTCATGATTCCTTGATATCTGTAAGCATTGAAATAAATTATTTTATTCAGATACCTTGGTTAACAATGAAATAAGTGAATTTGAAAGAAGTGAGAAACTGTATTCCTCTGACCAATTTCAAAAATATGCTTGAAGTTTCCATTATTGAGCATTTGTCATGGACATTTGTAAAAAACATGACATGAATACCATATTTTGATAAAATTATTAATTCATATATTAGTTAGTAAGTTTAAAGGTGGAAATGATGATTATGTTGAACAATTTGCACAATCAGTGCAGGGTTACATTTTTACTTTTTTACTTGACTCGGTATCAGTGACAAAAATCCAAAATTTGGCATATGATTTTCTCTGAATATGTAATTAAATTTAGAATAACCCGCTTAGGCGTTTGATTGTAATTGTATTGGAAATTCACTTACCTGACAGATTTTTTCTTCGCTTGATACGACAACTGTGCACTTATTTCTAAAGTTTTTAAAAGTAAGAGCAACAAAACGTGCTGCTTCTTACATAAAAACATAATTTTCAGTTTTCTGAAATATCGCAGTGGAGGTGCGTAAATTTTTTAAATGAAATCCGGTTTTTCCTTTCTAGCTTCTTTTGATCAGGAATATGATTCAATTTGATGCGAGACTTTGAAAATGATTAGCAGTTAGCAATCCCATTAATCGGTTCTTGTTGAGGACACTAGCTTCAAAGTTTAGGTTTGACTGATATTATTCATACTTTCTTGAAATTTTACCCAAAGAAGATTTTCATATCAATGATGTTTTGTAACTCAGACTTCTGCATAGACTTTATAAACACAAAAACTGATTAAATATATTTACGTGAAAGCTTGATCATTTTTTTTCTCTCTACTCAAATAACCATTCTGAGAAGATTACCATGATTCTATTGACACATTTTTTTCTTATGATTACTTAACTGTGGAAGAATATATCGAACATTGCAGGAAATTTTAAAGGCTTTTCATGGGTTTGAGTCAAGAGAGTAAGTCAGAAGCAAAGTTACTTCTGGAGCCTTTTAAATACTATATTTTTTTAGCTCCCCGACAGGAGGAAAACCGCTAATGTAACAACTTCAATTTACTCAGTGAAAAAATTTCAATACAATACAATTTTTTTTTATATGGTTGAAAAATCAATCATTTTAAGGGAATAAAAAGGCCGATTATATTTTTCACTTTTGATTGTAATTGCATACATGTACCTAATGTCAATTTTTTAGGTTTCATGGATGAGGCAAGGGACCGTTCGCAAATTATGTCTCAATCAAGGGGAAGGAAGATGGTCTGACACTACGTCATATTACAGGGGGCAAAAAATTCATGATTTTGGTAAAAATATTGACACAAAATACCAATTTTCCATGTGAAAAGAAACAAGAGCGCTAAGAAACAAGCCATGGCGTAATTCCTCAGGAGGGTACAGCTAGTATGCACCAAGCATGGAGGAAAAAGGTCTAAAATTCCAAATTTCATAGAGATATAATTTGTGAACGATCCCAAAGAGGTCATTTTTTGGAGCAGCTAACTCGAAATAAACGAGTTAATTTTGAGTCATAGGCCCCCTACAATTCTAAGTTTATTAAAAAAACAAAAATATGGGGTAAATTTTGAGACACAGCTTCAGCATCAATCATTCTAAAAGTATGCACTAAACAAGAGATTTCTTCACATCAAAAACTCCAAAAAATTATTCGAAACATATCAGAATATATAGTATTTTCAAATACATTACGAATTTGAAATGAATTATTGAAATGCTGATAGCTGAAAAAATATGAGACCGATGTTTTTCATTTGCTTTATGAATGTATCCGATTGTGAAAATTCAGTAAAATAAGCAAACGAGATGCTTAAACTCAGTGGGTGGAGAATAAGTAAATATGATTGGTTTTCTGAAATAAAATGAACTGATTATAACACTTCCACTGATGTTAAGATCATGGAATCAAATGACAGTGGGTCTTTTGAAAATTGTGTAAGAAATTAAAAATTGAACTAAAAAATTTTGCAGGAAGTGATTAATATCACACAGAAGGATTAAAATGCACTGCACAGATTCGGTCTACTTAGATGGCAAACTCCATGGAGCAGAGGAGTAGAGGTGAGTGTGAAGTGGAAAAAGAAGAGTGATATGCCCTTTGCATGTTCTTAACGAAACTTTATTAATAATTAAAATAACAATCAAGGTTCAGTGGCTTCAAGCTAATCACTATAAAATTAAAAATTCAATTGGGTGCTAGGTCCCCAGAGTTTTACTTTGATGAAGAAAAAACTTACAGTTTCTTTTTCCACCTTAGGAATGCGCATTTGTTTTTAATTATGCAGATATTAAAGATGAAAGTAGAGTTAATCATTTAACCTATGCACATGATCTAAACAAAAACTTGAATTTTTCACTTTAACGTTTAATTTGTTCATGATAATAACACACTTGACTCTGCTATCTTAATCTTCAATTAAGTTTCTACAAATTGCTTTGGACTTAACGACATTTTAGCCTTCAAATAGCATTGGTAAAAAGAGCTCTGAACCCGAAGACTTAATTTAGGGAGACAAGTACTATTAACGGTGCTCAATTAGTTTCATCAGGATTAAAAAAAAATTGTCAGATATGAATAAATGCACTAAATGGATACAAAACGGTTTGAATATACAAAAGAGCAACAATCTGCATTTTATAAGCAGAAAGTAGATTTCAACTGAAGAGCGGGGAAAGGCATATATTGAATGATGGTCAGTTAGCATGAGAGACTTTGTTGAAAAATACCCAAAAATGGAACTGAGTCCGTTACTACCTAATTAATGATTCCTTTTTGTGGATTATTTTCTCTGAGGTTTTCACGAGAAAAAGAGGGGGGGGGGGGGGGGGGTTACTGAAAAAAAAATTTCTCTTGTAATAGGTTGATTTAAAAAAGGCTCTTCAAGTTTTAGAGCACACTGACTCATGCAAATTTAGCAACTTTTAGACCCCCCACTCAGTCTTACAGCCCTTCCGAATTGTGTGAAACTAGCCGGGCCACTTCCCCAAACTGTTCATAAATGACAGAGAATGCCTAAAAAGTAGCTAAAAATGTATTTTTATTGGAAAATGTTATTTCATATTTTAAGTGGAAAGCTTACATAGGACTGAACTCCCCTTTCCTTGTAGGACCCAGTGAGAAAAGCTCAGACCCCTGTCCCCCTTAAGTTGCTTATGTAATTTAATACTTGAACCGCCCCTATCATACATGAAATAAATAAAATTTGCTCTCATATGGGTTTGATTTTTAACAGGCTTTTCACTTTCTAGACGAGCAGAGTGGCCTATTACTAAAAAATAATTTAAATTCAATGCAGAATATTACCAAAGCATCACATGAAACAGCTTCAAATCTATTATTCTGTCCTATTCTGCTTAGGACTACAAGGATGATTTCAGGATAATGGGAATAGTATTATCGCTAGTTTCCTTTCCAATTAATTTCAAGGACATGAGACAAATTAATTGAAAAAGAACATGAATACCATTACAAATCGTCTCATTTGTGAGCCTGCATAATATTCATGCCAAAAATTATGAGAAGTCATCATCACCAAGACTTTTGAACTGTAAAATGGGATGCCAGAAACACGTAGTCAACAAAGAAAAAATGTCCCATCGTTTGTATAACCGATTGGGCATTTCGCAGCATGAAAGTCTTACAATGAGTACATTGATTTCTCATACTTCTCTGCATAAATCATTGCAGGGTTACAACTTTAAACTATTGTCAACAAAAATTGTATTCTTCTTCCATTAAAAATTGTTCTAAGTCTTTGAAAACGCTAAATACTAAAGTGGCGAAACCGCTATTCCCACTATCATCATATTGCCCACAAGATGCTTGGGACTCTGATGGATCTTGAGACAGTCACAGTTAGGTCATGGATGAAAACGAACTCCTGAATCTGTTCTTAAGAACCGAAGATTAAAATACATGGGTTTAAATATATGAGCTTACTTACTTCCACTCATGAAGCTCAATATTTTTGGCAAGTTTAAGACGTCTAGTTCTGAGGCCTTGACTGTTCTGGTAAGCGCAGTATAAAATGTTAATTGTGCTGTCCCCATCATCTATGTCCATGCCCTTCGAGGGTACCTGTAAAGAATAAAGTGAACATCAGATAAGTGTTAGAATCAAATTTTGATAAACGTTACTTAAACACTAGTGTTGACAGAGTCAAGGAAAAAAAGAACTTACTAGTGAGTAGTGAAAGTTGAAGAACACATATCGACAACGCAAGTCCGCAATCACATATCTTGTTTGCGGTGTCTGAAAATCTCCACCTCTATGTTATTTTTTTAAAGGAGAACAAATTGACATCATTCCTTGAAGTTTTTGCAGAATTTTCTTTGCACAGAGAAGAAACATCACGGCAGTTTCAAAGAATTGCCCTTGAGTAGTTTTCCGTTTAAAAAATGAAGTATGACAGGAAGTCTGCGATGTCGCAAACGAAGTTATGTGATTGCCGACTTACACCGTCGATATCTTAATGACGTCTCAACATCATAATTTATATTTCATTTTTTGAAAAATGACATGTAAATGTAAAGCAGTTGGTCTGGTATGGACATGTGCGAAGGATGGCAGACGACCGGTTGCCCAAGCAGGTCTTCGATTGGGTTCCTCCCAGAAGGCGACGGCGTGGACGTCCTGTGAAAGGTTGGCGACAAGTGGTGGAGGAGGAGATCAGAAGGTGCCAATTGCCTGATGATCTCTGGGAGGATAGGGGGCAATGGCGATTGGGCGTCGCAGAGCGCGAGGCGGCGCTATAAAAGCGACTTTATGTATGTACATGTAAATGTCATTATTTGAAGGAGTTAAAAAATATTCAGAACAAAGAAGATTAAAAGATATCTGCAAACATTTCTTACGCTGTAAGTCTCTTTCTTAATAATACTAGACTCTGAGATGCACAGCATGGAAATAGGTGAAAGATACAATGAATGGTGGTCAAAAATACTTACAGAACCATTAAGCAGAGACTTCCACAGGTTGATTATCATATTGAGGAGGCCCATCGTCTGAATCACTATCTTCCTCAGAGATTCTTGTTTTCTTCCTTTCCAGATAATCTTGTACTTCATTATATTTTCTTTTGTACAGGACACCGATTTCACCACTTTCTTCAATGGATGGACTAAATGCAGCTAAATGTTTATTTAAGATCTCCAATGCAGACTTGAATTTATTATTTGATGACACAATAAAAGATTTTCTACTTCTGTCTAATGAATAGACTTGAACCCCTTCGTAGTGTAAGGCCCACAAGTCTTTGGTTTCGGTCAGGAGGATGTATAGAGGTGGTTTTGGCAAAGAAATACGCTGATTTAGGGTTACATTTAAGTTGTTGGTAATATGGTAGACCAACACTTCACTATGTTTGTGTAGAGATACACAGGCAATATGTAATGTTGGATTGAATTGTGTCACTTGCACTTTGGTGACAGGAATCGGTTTTTCAGCGTCAGGTTGGACATCGTTGGAGCAATTGTAGACGCGCAGCTCTGCACCAGTCAGATAATTCCAGAACCGCAGTGTCCCATCACCGGAACTAGAGAGAATTGTTTTAGCATTTGCATTGAATAGGTTGATGCTTGTTACAAACTCTTCATGACCTAAACAGTAAGACTGAATATTGTAACTGTTCGGATAGTGAGACACCCGGATCTTCTCATCTCGGTCGCACGTAATGATGAAATTGTCTGAGGTTAGGATCATATCCAATAAAATTGAGACGTGTCCTAAAAGAAAAGTTCCTTTTTCCTCAGCACTATCAAGATTGAATGAAAAAACCTCACCAGCTTTGTCTGCCACGATTACGTTTTTGCTGTCAGCTGTGAAACAGATTTTGCTTGCTCCCCGCGGAATCGTCTTGGATACCACAAGCTGCCAATTATCAATGTCCCAGACACTCATGAGTTTGTTGTTAATAGAGTACGCAAACAATTTACCACAGGGCGAAATTGCAGAGGATGCGACGTCAAGGGATAGTTCTTTCGCATCGTCAGAGAATCGATTGGGACGATTAGGTTCTGCTTCAACAAGATTGAATTTCTGATCTGATAGTCTCATAAATATTGAGCTGTACTTCGCAGTTACAGCGATGAGATTATTACTCACAGAAATACACGCCATTGGATTGGGAATTAATTCACAAAAATCTTCTTGAATAAGTACTTGTCCACAAAAAGTTGGTGCTAGAGTCACGGGCACAGGTGTGATAAATGGTCTAACTGAGGTTACTATTACAACTGGGCGCGATCTCAACTGGTATTTTCACTGACATGTATTAGAATTGAAATATTTCAGTCGAATGTATGCACAATTTGTTATCAGACTACAAGTACAAGTCAAAATAAAAATCTGACAAACGAAAAACGTGGTTGCGCTACCGGTGCCGGTTGTTGGTCAACACACATGAAATTACGTCACCGCTGTTATCGATGACATCATGCATCATGACTCTCGCGCGGGAAATATAAACTCGAAAAATGTTGAGCGTCTGAAAAAAGTGGGAGGGGAGGGGTTTGAAAGCTTAAACTGGCGGGAAAATGCCACCAACTCAAAAATTTCGTCAAAAAATTTGCTAAAAGGTGTTCTAGCAGTTCTAGCATACTTTTGTTGTAGAGAGTTCGATGATAATTCGCGTTATAAATGAATTTACATCCACCAGAGCCTTCCTTGTCTTTCGCACATGGACAGTACTTAAATGAAATTCAGCTATGACTGGCATGTTGAAAAGCAAAACTGTTCAAAAATCTCACGATCCACTTTGCAAAGCTGTTGTTCGTTGTTTTTTTCCACTTTGCAAAGCTGTTGTTCGTTGTTTTTTTGGCTCGCATGAGAAGCGGCTGCGCCAGGCGCCAAGACAGCACGGACGCTGAAGTGAGACGAAATAAAGAATATGAGGGGAAAAAAGGGAAGAACAGTTTAACGAAGGGTGCAATAAACATAAATCTGCGGGAAAGCATGAATATTGAACTAATCGAAAATTATTACTGAGTCGTCCGGCACTCCCTGCGTCCTTAGAGGAAGCCGCAATATTGTGTGACTTTTTTGGTAGATATTGTCGACTTGAATTTAGCCTTCAATTTCAGCGCATACCGCGCGGATGACAGATCAAAAAAATGAATCTCTGTTTTTGTCGATTTTCAATTAGCTGCATTAATGTGTACAATGGGATACATTTTATCTGCCCATCAGGAACTATGGTCGAAAAAAGTAGGAGAGTTGCTTAAAAATGACGAAAAATCTTGTCGCGTGTACCTTCCTCTTGGTTCCAAAAACACGTGCCTCTGAACCACGTCTTCGGCGCCTTTTTTTGCGCTACTCTTTGAACTCCCCGGAACGCGTGAGGTATCACGCCTCAATTGAGGGCGTTTTCGAATCGTCTGTATTTACATGACAAGATTTTCCAAATTGTTTTGCATTATATTGTTGATTTGATTTCCTCTTATTATTTAGTTAAATTACTCTTGCATTTTCATTTTCAATAATTCTGCAATCATTATCCATTTGCGTAATACAATCCTGGCTTTAGCGCCCTTAAACTACGGCCTTAACGGTCGAAACTGCAGTAGCGGCACATGAAACCTGAGAAACCAAGCGGTGACGCTACTTCAATATTCAGCTACCATCGCCTTGCTAAGGCGAAGGCATACAACTATTTGAACTCTCCGGAACGCGTGAGGTATCACACCTCAATTGAAGGCGTTTTCGAATCTTCTGAGTTACATGACAAGTTTTTCCAAATTGTTTTGCATTATATGGTTGGTTTGATTTCCTCTTATTATTTAGTTAAATTACTCTTGCATTTTTATTTTCAATAATTCTGCAATCATTATCCATTTGCGTAATACAATCCTGGCTTTAGCCCCGTTAAACTACGAATTTAACCGTCCAAGCTGCAGTAGCGGCACAGGAAAACTGAAAAACCAAGCGGGGGCGCTACTTCAATATTAAGCTGTCATTGCCTTGCTATGGCGCAGGGATACAACTATTTGAACTCTCCGGAACGCGTGTTAAATTTACGGTCGAAACTGCAGTAGCGGCACAGGAAAACTGAGAAACCAAGCGGTGACGCTACTTCAATATTAAGCTTCCATCGCCTTGCTAAGGCGCAGGCATACAACTATTTGAACTCTCCGGAACGCGTGAGGTATCACGCCTCAATTGAAGGCGTTTTCGAATCTTCTGTGTTACATGACAAGATTTTCCAATTGTTTTGCGTTACATTGTTGATTTGACTTCCTCTAATTATTTAGTAAAAGTACTCTTGCTTTTTAATATTTAGTTATTCTGCATAGATTATCTATTTGCAAAATACAATCCTGGCTTTAGCGCCCTTAAACTACGGCCTTAACGCTCGAAACCGCAGTAGCGGCACAGGAAAACCCGAAAACCAAGCGGTGACGCTACATCAATATCAAGCTGCCATCGCCTTACTAAGGCGCAGGGATATAACTATTTGAACTCTCCGGAACGCGTGAGGTATCACGCCTCCATTGAAGGCGTTTTCTGGTTTACTATCTTAACACACCGGGATTTTCTGGTCCCATGACGTTCGGAGCATGGAAGAAAGGGAATGACTGAACTTTCGAGCTACTTCCACGGTTACGCGCGCATCCCCGTGTTTTAAATTTTTGTATATTACTTCCTCGAATGTCTGTCGATTTCACAATCAACTCGAAAGTTGATTGTGAAACCCTTACGGTGCGCTTAGATCAGTCTCGCACAGTGTTAAAAAATTCATTCGTCCGGCTCTGTTCGTTTGCGTGAGCAAATGAATGTGATTGAGGAGAGAAAATTGGCCCCAGTTAAAGAATTCAAGGGCTTTGAGGTAGTGGCGATTCTTGAAAGTTGACAACACCGTTTTTCCTCCTTTTAAATGTATGTATAACAATCGATTCTTGGTGAGACAGCTTGCATCACCTAAAATCGATATTTTTAATGCATTTAAATGAAGGAAAAAACAGTGTTGCCAACTTACAAAATCGCCACTTCTCGGAGGATATCAGAGCAAGGCGAGATTTTAATTATTTCAGCTAAATCTAATTCAAAAAATATCCTACGAAAAATTCACCCTCAAATTCCGACTTAGAAGCATCAAAAAGTGAGGTTGAACTTTTTTCCCGGCATAAGGCTCCTTATGCAATTTTGAAACTTTGAGAGCGTATTTATCGAAACAGCAAAAACTGCACTCGTGCGCCTTTGTCCTTCAGGCCCCTTAATTTTGAACCTCGGCTAGATGGCAACCATCCCAATTTTAGCGGCAAGGAGAAGGTCGCCTCTGGTTGGATAAAGGTTCTCCCGCCACGCTATTTTCCGCAATCGAATGGAGGCAAAATTCATTTTTGGAGTATGGCATGGATTTCACTTCTCGGAAAATAGGGAGGTGCCTCGAAAACAAAGAAAACGTGAATAAAATACTTATAAACTTAAAAACTCACCTGCACGTAATATATTTATTTGCGGACGCGTTTCGCCGGCTCGCAAATGAAAATATTACGTGCAAGTGAGTTTTTACGTTTTTAAGTATTTTATTGACCATTTTCTTGTGCGGGTTCCCGAAAGTTTCATTATGGAAAACGTTACACGTTGGAAAACTTCAAAAATCCATTCTCAGGAGTCCTCGAAAAAAACGGATTTGTTAGGTACGACTTACGAGTATTACAACCCCCC